AACTATTTTATATTTCTTTATTTTTAACCCGAGCTGAAAAAATTATTAAAGGATTTTTATAGCAAAATAAATAAAAATCATCACTTTATTTGATAGATGGTATTACAAAGGTTAAATAACACTTTTGGTCCCTATACTTTATTATTTGAGTAACGATTTAGTCTCTTAACTTTCAAAAGTAATGATTTATTCTCAATACTTTCAAATTGATAATAATTTAATTCTGAAATTTAGAATGTAATAACTTAGTCATTGAAATTTAAAGTTTGTAACTATTTAGTTCCCGTTGTGATTTTTTTTTTGTTAAATTTCTTATATATGTAGATCGATAAATGGATGAACGATCAAATTTATTTATAAATTACAAAAATTAAATTGTTATACGATAAAAATTGACACTTAATTTTGATGAGAATTTTCGTGGTAAGGACTAAATTGTTACAAATTCTAAACTATATGGACTAAATTGTTATATATTAAAATTCAGGGACTAAATTGTTACTACTATGAAAGTACAGGGACTAAATTGTTACGATTAAAAGTTGACTAAATTGTTATGAAAGTACAGAAACCAAATGTATTTTGTAACATATTATGAAAAACCCTACTGGTACCAATAATAGTGGATATATATCCTTCATGAGAGAGAAAAATGGTACTAGAAGAAGATTTTAAGCAGGGTATTAAATTTTCATCAATATTTTTATAGGAGGTGTGAATTAATATCTCCATAGTATTGTAAAACAAAATTGACAAAATCATAACAACAAAATATTAATAATATAGACATAATATCACTAATAAATAAATTTTAACATGCTTTAAATAATTGTTATGATTTTTATTCCATAAATTTTTCATAAAATATCCATTCATATCGATATTCTATTGATATTTCTCTTATTTCCCATATTGCATTTACGTACAAGTTTTTTACTTCACACTCCAAAAAGTGTTTTCCTTTATGCTATTCCAAATTTTTTCTTCTTTGTGTAAAGGGTCCCCTCTTGGACGCCACTCTCTTCCCAACTTTTCCAATTTCTATTACTTTTTCCTTTTTATTCTCCCCACCTCCCTTATGAGACAAAAATATTGGTCTCAAATTCAAGAGATTGCTTTCAAGATTTTTTAAGGTTAAATTATATAAGATTTCATTAAAAAAAAAGTCCAAGTAAATTTCCTAAACTTTAAAATTCTATATCTTATCTAGTTTGTTCCGACCTATTAGACATTTTAAAAAATCAATATATCTATTGATTAAAATATTGAAAGTTTAGAAACTTATTAGAAGTTTTAAATTTCAAGGAACTATTAAACACAAAATTGAAAATTCAATGACTTATGAGAAAGTTTTTAAAGTTTAGGGACCGGTTAATACGATAGGAAACTTTATGAACTAAAAACGTAATTTAATCAATTATTTATTAACTTTTTAAGATAAAATTTAGTAAAATTATTGTTAATTAGGTTTATTTTGTATTCAAATTGTGATTCTACACAAAGGGAAGTTAACAATAATATACAAGATTAATGTGGGAAGCACTGACTTGGAACTAAAAGCCCACTCATCAAACCTTTTTTTTGTTCTTTTTCAAATTTCTTAATTATTTTATTTATTTATGAGGTAGAATTTATACATTAATTAATAAAATATCCCATGTTCGTCACTCTAAATTTAAAAATAGATTGTTTTTGGAAAGGTACTGTCCATGTTTGAGATTAAAAGATAATAATAATAAATACAAAAAAGAAGTTATTTTTTTAGTTCAAATAATAGGTGAAAGTAAAAATTTGAATCTCAAGATTATTAGTATTTATGTTTTAACCCACGATGAAAAAAGTTAATATTAACATACTTCAACTATTAAGGCATATAATTCAGACCAAAAAATTATAAATTTATATCTTCATCATCATATATTGTATTAAAATAATTTATTAGAAAAAAAAGAAATAAAATTAAATATAATATTTTATAGTATCGTATTCTAAAGGGGAACATTCAAGCTTGTCAGGTGCTTGATCCAGCATGTTGACAAAAAGTAGAGTGTTCCCCGTGGACGGCACGTGCCATGCCGCTCCACCTTTTTCCCTCTCACAATGACATTCCTTGGTAAAAAACATACCTTTAATTTTTCACCTCCTCAAAACTAATTTTAAATTATTACTATTATTATTATTCCTTAAAAAAAATATTATAATTACTAAATTTCAATTTCAATTTCAATTTTATAGTAATAGAACAATTTAATATTAAAAAAATTAATAAAAGAATTTAACAGTTGATTCTAACCCATCCATGCCTAGACTAGGTTGAATTATGTATCTTCTTTCATATATTGCTACTTTTTTTTTATCAATTTTTTCCATGTACTTTTATTTAACTTTCTTTTATATTCCTTAATTTTTTTCATTAGGTTACTGAAAAAAATTGTGATCCCATATTATATTGTTTCAAAGATTAATTATAAATAATTGAGATAGGTTTGCTGGGGTAATATATATACATGTATACTATATTTGGGCTCTTTTGGACTCACCAATTTTGGTCGGATCCTATTTTTAGATCGAATACTCGCTTGAGTTTATTGGACTATAATATTATATCAATATTCATGGTTATATCTAAGGTTTTAAATATCGATGTCGATGAATATTTCTGTAAAAGTTAGAAAAATTAAAAAAATCGTAAAAAATATTTAAATACAAATAAACAATTTCCTATTTCTAAATTAGTTACAAATAATAATATTAATATTATGTATATATTAGTGACATTTTATTAATATTTTTCATATTTTGTCGATTTTCTTGTACTATAATGGAAATATCGATTTACCCCTCATGTCGATATCGAACCCATGAAAACATGGATATGTCAATGAAAATATCGACGTGTCGATGGATATTTAAAACCATAGTTATATCTCAAAATTAATTATCAATCGGGCTGAAACTCGCCTTTATATTTTGAGATCCTTAGCAAGCTGGTTTGCTACCCGAAAAAAGGGCAGTGGACCATAGTAAGAAAAAGTATGAGTATGTAATGACAACAAAAAGATCCGACATTTATTTCTTGAGATGCAATTTTTAATCTCTTTCTAAGAGTTATAAAAATAGCAATCATATTAAATAATTTTTCATAATTCTCTCTCGCAAGTCACGCATTTATAGCATACAAGAAAACCCACTAATATTATAACAGATTGGGTAGATGCTAAATCATATATCACGAAAGCCGTAACGCTCAAGGATCATACATTATAATTATATGAAAAACAAAACATTTTTACACATAATCAATATAGTGTCCATTAAAAAGCAGACAAGTTCATTGGCCTAGACAGCGAGAAGGTTAAAATGGTAAATAACATGGGAGTAGTAGACTAGACAGTGAAATTCTACTTGTCGCGGTATTGGGTAAAAAGTAAATTAGTAGGGGTCAAACGACATGTCGGAAAAGCCGGAAGAACCGAGAGACTCGGGGAATCCTATGTTGTTGATAAGATTTGGTTTTGGAGATTTGGAAGATCTAGTCTAGCAAGTCTCTATATTTATGCAATGTTAGTGATGTTATTGCTGTATAATTAAGCCCTCACTCACGTAGTTAGAAGTGAAGTTTGTCCCATGTCGGAAAAGTATAACGAGGGAATGTGCTCCAATTCCAATTACTATAAAAAGACCTGATTTTTGTTCATCCCAATTGAAATACTTTAAACCTGGTATATTAACTATAATTAATTGAACCATATTTGCTTTGAGAGGGAGTGTTTTGTATAATTGAGATAAAAAAGATGGCGTCTCTGATCGCATTTCCAACCATTTTTCCTTCAAATAAAGTACCACAAACCTCTCCTAATCAATTATATACCATGACTAAATCTTTTAGGCTCACCACTAATTTTGTTGACACCCCGAAGACTTTACCAATACAACTAAGTTAGGAGCATAATTCTGATATCAATCGTTAAAAGTATGTTACCACGTTATCTCTGCATAGACTCTGACCTTCGTATTCTCTTCTTAGTTTGTCATAATTAAAACAGTAAATATAAAAAAGTTAAGACTTGGTAGAACCTAAAATTTCAAAATTGGATGACTATATAAAAAAAAAATTAGCATATAAATTTTGTTTCCTCACTGAAAGTATATTCTTTATATTATAAGTGGACCATATTTGGGTGTCCAATCTATAAGGGGAGGCCTCTCGCCGCTGTCTAGTTGTGGAGGGAAAGAATCATATGCCGAGTCTTTGTTTTTATATGAACACACTCCTGCCCAAACTCTAAATTTTCTTAAATGGGTCAGAAATCATTTCAATTCTAAAGATTTTAATTGATGTAAATGATTTAAAAATTTTAATCATATTTAGAATCAAATGAATTTCAAATCACTGAAATTAAGGGAAAAGAAAGTAACATTTTACTATCATGCTCGGTGATTTTGTAAGATAAATAATAATGTCAACTACATACAATCATACTACCAAATATATATATATATATATATATATATATATATATATATGAAATAAATTAAGAAAATTCTTTAATCAAATCAAATCAACTTAATCAATTAAAACTTGCAAATGCCAATCTCATTTAAAAAAGAAAACTTACAAACGTTTCAATTCAAATAAAAAATAATAATTTAAAAATCAAATTATTTCAAATCTAAATCAAAAGAATTAATTATTATATTTTAAAAACTATTTGTTTTCATATATTTATTTTAGATTAAAAATAAATTAAACCCTCTTTTTTCATATATTTATTACTGCCCCCATATTAAAAGATGACCTAAATCCTATTTTTCCAATATAACCTAAATCCTAAACAAAATTCTATTGACACAAATATATTATATAAACTTGAGCATAGTTGAATATCTCCGATCAAAAGATGGTGAATTTGAATCATCGCTGCAGTGGATACATTGGTTACAGCACATGACAGAAAAGAGAGTAATGGGAAAAGCTATAGACTCAGGAGAGAATATTCTATGCAGCAAAAACAGAAGGATCAAATTCCTCAAATTGTTTATCCTCTCTCTCAGACATCCAAAAGGAAATTTCCCATCACGAGCTCACTATTCAACAAATGATTGATAACCATAATGCAGTTGAAAGTACTTCCAGATGCTGCAATTCGAAAATCTTTGATCAGAGATTCAGAAGTCAGATCAGAGCACGTTACAAAAAGCTGGCTTCAGCCATACCCTGAACGTGATGCTTGATCCTCCACACTCAGCTGCACAGTACATAAACAGTGTCTCTCTCTTTCACAAATGAGAAACATTTTGGCAAAAGATATACATAAACAGAATCTTTCTATTGACAAAAGTCAAATAGATTAGAAAAGAAGCACCCAACTTGCCATTAATAAAACTGGAGGAATGGCTAGTTAAAGTACTCTTCCATCTAGAGGCTAAGCAGAAAATTTGTCCAGTTCCTTTCAGGGTTTTCTTGATTCTAGCCTAAGAACAACAAAATGGTGTGAGACTAGAAGTTAGGATAAGAAAATGGTATTGGACTAAAAGTTGCATCGACTTAAATTTCAACTTCAACTGGTCAAGACATTACTTACGACCCTAAAAATTGAAGGTTTGAATGTCTACACACGACAGGCTCAATCGGATCTTGGAGGAGAACTCAGAAGTGAAGATTAAGGACATGGCTTTCATAATCTTTATGAATTATGACAGAGGTACATTACATCACCAGGGAGTAGGAGACAGAGAGATATCATCTGCTATTTTTTCTCAACTCAGTCTAAGTTTACCATGAGTAGGAGACCGCAAGAATTTTTTATTTTTTGAGGAGTTTTAGCCTTCCAAATAGCAGCAGATAAAACAAAAGAGCTGCCTCCTCATCATGAGCTGGTCTCCAACATTTTAACAATTGTTTCAGAACTGGTAGTTGAGAGAAATTTTGTAAATTATAAGAAGTGACAGACATGAGGAGAAGTCTTTTTTTTATCTAGCAAGTCAAGATAGGAATTAAGCTCAAGAACATCAAATGAAAAAGACAGTCAACATGATGAATAATTTTTTCCTTTTCTTTTTTTAATTTACATGCACGTCACAATCAATTAATAATTGACAGAGTAAGAATCTCTGATTGGCTATTGCTTGGGCTTATTAACAATAATGAAGATGAGACAGATAAATGTCTGGACCAAGTATTAGTTTAGGAAATGGAGAGACAGAGAGAGCTTGCATAAACTTTTAAAGACTAAAGGTACAGTTTGCCTAAAATTGGGAAACTTGTTTGTTAAACCGGCTGCATCTCCCCTTTGAACTAACCATTTAAACTATTAGAGAATTAACTGTAAGTAGTTTAATCAAGCCATTAGGGCAAGGCACAATAGGGTAAATCTCACAGATGAAAGAGAGAGAGATAAGAAAATATTAGCAAATAAAAATTCTCGGCACCTCCACAAAAACAAGTAGAGCCTCCTATTAGGTCATTACTTTTAGAGATGACAAAAGAATTTTCTAGAAGAGTGTGAGGTTATAAAATATTGGAGATTAAAAAAAAACCCTCCTATTGATGAACCAAAAATCAAGGGTACATTTACAAAGATCCCTTCAGATTGAGGATAGTATGAGCCAGGAAAAGATAATTTCTACCTATTCTATTACACTCTATATCACTAGATTTTCCTTCAGAACTTCTTCTGCTTCTTACTTTTTAAATCTTCACAATCACAAGGTTGTCAATACAAAATTAATTTTGTTTTGTTTTTTCTTTTGATCAATATGTCAGCAAAAGCCAAAGGGCGACCTAAGGCTCCCCGGTCCATTATAAATCRTAAAATTGACCTTTTCAGAGATTTTGGAGATTGCGATCATGTATGCAAAAGACTATTACAGTTGCTACAAGTTCCCAAAGAAAAGTTTTAAACAGAGCCCTATTATGCTGTACTCCCAAGTTCCAAATACCTATCCGTTTGATCCTCAAACAAATATTGGAATAATTCTTTCAAAATCAAAGAAAAAATTATGTATCCGATCGACTATGTTTCATGATAAAGAAAGATGAAGAGAAAATCACAATTTACCGAGAATCATCAATCAATTCGATCATTCCTCGTGTCTACAAATGGCAATATTTGAGCTGTCACCGCAGAATAGAAAACAATAGATCGAACATCAGAATAAATAAGAAAACGACGGGAAACTGAATTCAATGTCATTATGCTCTTCACATAAGTAGATGGAAAAATCACGGATGAGAAATTAACATCAAATAAACAAATCTTACAACATTGCTGGAGAATATCTCAAACCGATTAGTCGCGAATTTCTACTGAACTCCGCCCACTAATTGTAAATTCGATCTATCAAAAGCACATAGGGAAAGAAGAAAATGTGTGAATCCAAACTCCGAATCGCCCCTTCAAAATCAATTACTGAATCTCTCAGTCGTCGATCGTATCCCTAGCCCAGGCAACAAACCAGAATTTGTGGGTCAAAACTCAAAACTCCGCGCCATTTCTTTGCCGATTTGATGTATCTATGAATATGATCTGCGACAGCCGGGCATGGCTACCCCTGTTCACACTTCATTTTTTATTTTTTAAAATTTATTTTGGGTAATAAAATATCGTAAGAGAAGAAAATAATTAGTAATTTAGACTTGTGTGATTTGAAAACATAGATCTGAGAAACTAGGGATCGAATAAAAAAACATAGTTATATGGTTTGTTTTCAGTGTAGAAGAAAATAATTAGTAATTTAGACTTTTGTGATTTGAAAACATAGATCTGAAAAACTAGGGATCGAATAAAAAAACATAGTTATATGGTTTGTTTTCAGTGTTTTGTCTGATTGTAAATTTGAAAACTAATGTCAAATTTTTTATTGTAAATTTGAAAACTAATGTCAAATTTAAAAAATGGTTCAATATCATAGTAATATATTTATAAATTAGTGGTATTACTGTATATTTAGTCGAATCTAAAATAATATTGATTAATTTATTAATTTTTTTAAAATTTTGTATAATTACTCTTTTATAATATCATATAATTTATAATTTATTACATTTTACATATTTTACCATAGAGTAATATATTTATAAAAAATTTTGTCTTTTTTAAATATAATTTTATATTTTAAAGTTTCAAATTCAAAAATTAAAAATAATGAAAATATAAAAATGTTGTTTTTAGAATTTCTACTCTTTTGATTCTATAATCCGGTTTTAAAAAATATGGCCAAAATGCATATTCGCGGACCAATTGATTCAATGAATCTGAATATAAGAAATATAATTGGATGGTAAACCAAACAAGCTCTTAGTTTTTAAATATTGAACTTTTGGTCTCTAATTTTCATATTTATTTTTAGTTTTGTTCCTGGACTCTCAAACAATTTTTTTTGGGCACAACAAAGGTGGGATGGGATCAACATTAATTTAGCGGTAAATCATCTACAACTTTTAGGTTGAAAGTTCAAATCTTTCGTTTAGTACCACAAATATGGAACGAATATTGAACCTTGGACCTTAAAGAATGAGCAAAATCCTTTAACAACTAACTATTTTGGCTAAAAGTTCAAATTTCTATTATCTCACATTTGTTGTATTAAAAAAATAAATATAAATGGAGGATCCAACCTTCAACCAAAAAAAAGAGTAATTTGCTTTACTTAATAATTCATATTGGTCGTTGTGAATTCGATCCCCATTCGCACATGTTGTACTAAAAAGCAGACTGTCTTACTTTTTTTTCTTTGTCAATAAATGTCTAAATTGATAAGTGAGTGAAACTACACATGACAATTACTTATTGGATTATTGATGAAAAATATAGAGCCGGTAACAAATTTGTTTTTTATTTTCTATCGTTTGAAAATTAAACTCATAAATAATACTTTCCCATATATATATTTTTAGAAACGTTTTTATTTTGGTTAAAAAAAACCCGTTTTTATTTAAAAATTTTGAAAACTGAAAAAAAGAAAGAATAACCTAAAAAAGACATTTTTGTTTTTAAAATTTGGCTAAATATTTTCGAATATAAAATATTATGAGTAAATAAGCATAATTCCATTAAATTTATGATTTAGAAACTTAAAAAGAGAACATCTAAATGTCTAGAAAATAAAATAAAATATTTGAAATCGTATGGATGAAAATGGAATAGACATAAACTATTGGTGCTCCAGATAAGCTTTCAACTAGTTTTTATTAAAAGGAAGCTGATTTTAGTTTTAGTCAATTTATCAAATCTCTTGAATTAGTATCAATTAAACTACCCATTATTAATTATTAGATTGTACTGTTGAGAATTCGTTTTTATTTAGTTACACTGTTTCTGTGTTTGTTCTTTTCTTTTTTCCTTTCGAGCGTTCTGTTACTGGTGTCATTAAAAAAATGATTTTTTTTATTTAAAATTTAAATTTTCATAATATTATATGTTTCGATTAGTTGAATTATGCAAGTTGACATAAACACAATGTTTAATATTTAATAAGAAAAATAAAAATATTGATATTAACGTAACCAAAGTGTGTCCATTTACTACTTCTAATTAATTGGACCTACTAAAATCAACTAAGATTAAATATTATATTTATTACCCTAAAAACTTCATTTACTACTAAATTTATAAACTTGAATGGTTATTAATATGTTACTTGATACTTTGTGTGAGATTAGGAGCTATCACAAATATTGAAGTTGATAAGATATTTCTCAAAAAGAAAAAAAAGGTTGATAAGATATCTTATATGTCAAAAACTAACATAGCTAAGTGGTAATTGATATATATCTCCAACCAAGAGGGTGTGAGTTCCATTCTTACTCTAAACGAGTTCACATGATACTAATTAGATCATAGCCCAATTAGGTGGAAACTTAAGACACTCAACTGAAAGAAAGAATGTGAGCTATTAGGTGGATCGTGAACTTGACCAAGTAGGATGAAGAGAAGACGTTACATATAGCCCAATTAAGTGAACATTATTGCCCATGGATACATTAATTTTGATGATCAACCTTAATATAGGACTTGATGAACATAAAAAAGTCATAGATGTCACTCTAACTTTTTAAATTTGAAAAACTAAACCAACCAATGTTAATAAAATAAAATTATAGTTAATTTAAACTACAAAGACAAAAATTAACATTTTGAAAGTGTGTGGATTAAAATGAACCAAAGTTGAAAATACTATTGGAATCAAAATGAACCAAAGTCGAAAGTATATAGATTAAAATAGTATTTATATACAAAGAGTTTATAATAAGTCCCTAAACTTTCGTTCTTATTTCTAATAAATCCCGACCGATAACATTATCAATTTAACGTTTATGCCACCAAATATCTAAAACCTTACTTGGAAACAAAATGGTATCCAAACCAAATCTCAACTATTAAACTTCTAAGGGTTCCTAGAACCTTCTTTTTTTCGTTTATGTTTCATTTTTTCTTAAAAATAGAATTGTATAGCCGTGACGCCTATGATTATTTTATTTTATTTTATAGCATAACACCTATGGATTAAAAAAATGATAAAATAATATTTTTATTTAAATTTTTGGAAGAAACGAGAACTAAAAATTACAATAAACTTAGGGCTCGTTTGGTAACGAAAAATGTGTTGCATGGTTCCAAATCTCTAAAAATTCAAGTATGACAAAATAAATTTTTTTTGGGAATAAATTGGAAATAGAAAAAGAAGAAAAAACTAGTTTTAGTTGTTTCTAAAATTTCTATACTATTGTGAGAATGTTTCAAAAAAAAAAAAGAACAAAAAACAAACTTAGTTGAAAAATGCTGAGAAAAGAAACGAGAATGTTACCAAATTACCAAACGAATCCTCTTTTTTGTTTTCAAGATTTCTATACCATTTTGAGAACAGTTATAAGAAATTAGAAACATAAATAGTTGTCAAATACTTAAATTTCTTAATAAAATTAAAAACAAAATGTTACTAAAAAGGAATGCAAATTAACCCTAATTAAATCATATTGTAGCGTAGAAACGAAGATGGGAGAGCGGTTTTCGCGGCTAAAGATTCACGTTCTCACAGATAAGGGTAGTTGTAGTTGGGGCTGACTTTCCCTACTCACAGCTCACCACTCTCTTCCAACTCCAGCCCCATACGCCTCCAATTTCCCCCTTTTTTTTTCTTTTTAATTTTCCTTTTTTTAATAATATTAACAATAATAATAATTCGAAGATCCGATTAAATAAATAAATAGGTAAAGAAAAAAAAATATAAATTAAATTAATAAACAGAAAAACTGCATCTTCAACTCGAGCTTCCATTTTGGCTTTGGTGGTGTACGAGTCGAGTTTCTGCGAGCGCTCTGCCACACCCTCTCCGTCTTCTCTCAACTGCTCTTCTGCTACCTTCGCCCTGAAGGAAGAGGAACGACAATGGAGTCCACCGAGTCTTCATACGTCTCGTCTCCTGAGGCTCCCGCGAAGCGATCTCCACCGCCGCCAAAATCTCCCAACTCAGGTATCTGATCTGATTTCAATCCTCTCCCCTACTTTTCCTCCTCACAATTTAATCCCTCCCCTCACTGTTTCGTTTTGATGCTTGCAATCTGTTCTTCTGTGCATTCTTGTAGTCAGTGGTTTCGTTGTTTCAGATCGGTTTGTTTGTGGAGTGATGCAATTGTGTGTTTGTTTATTTTGTTCTCCTTTTCTCCTTTGGTTGGAATAGAAACCCTAGCTTTTGGAGTCTTGGTTGATTTGTTTGTGACGGCGGAGGGAATGAGAAATCCAGAAATTTCCGCCTCCACTTCTGCTTTGGAATGCTTAGAAAACGAGACTGTGTGCTACTGGTAGTGGTAGGGCTTTTTTGTTTCTGGTCGGCGGGGTAGGGTTACTCTATTGAGGTGATTTTTGAGATTTAACACAGTTGACCAAATTAATTGGGGAGCAGTTGTCATTTCGTCTCTGCCACCGACTCATCCGTCTAACGCACTGCGTGTCCCGGTGTGTGTAATAATAGTCAAAGACTTGCTGCTATCTTTGGTGATTGGACAGCGAGTACTGAGTGGAAAATTGAGTAGTTTCAAGTATATTTAAGCAGAATATTGGAACTCACTTTTGACCGATGGTTCTTCTTTAATTTCATAAAGGCATGTGAATGTGGAATGCTATTTGGTTATAATGGACTTTCGCATTTGAAATCTCGAAATTGACCACAATAAGTATCGTATTTGCCGTTGATTTCCACTAATAGGGACTGAAATGTTGATAATACATTTTCTCAATTCTTCTTCACGGTTTATGTTAATCATTTTTTCCTTTTTTTTTGTGTGTTGAAATGTAATAAAGAATCTTATCTATAATTTAATGAGAAAAGTGAGGGTTCATACGTGACATTTTATTTTTACCATCTACTATGGTAACGTGTTTGTTTGTTTGTATGTTGCATGATTGTGATTTATATCAAAGGTTTTAGTTCTGCCACATTTTAAACCTTCTAGGTTAGTTTAAGAATGAGATCTATCTACGTTTCTAATTGATAATGCATGTATGCCTGTTCAATTTTGTAGTTAAATTTCCAGATTCTTATATTTCTGCTTATAAATATTTTCTCGCTCTCATCATAATTGCTATTGTCAGACAATATGGACAAGGCCACATACATTAGGTTTCTTGTATCAAATGCTGCTGCTGGTTCTGTGATTGGGAAAGGTGGCTCAACAATTAATGATTTCCAGTCACAGTCTGGTGCACGAATCCAATTGTCAAGGAATCATGAATTCTTTCCTGGAACCACTGATAGGATCATTATGGTATCTGGATCAATAAATGAAATATTGAAGGCCATGGAACTTGTTCTTGCTAAGTTGTTGAGTGAGGTAATCTCTATGCAGTTCAAGTTCACTCTAATTTTTAAATGTTGTATTATGTTTGATTGATTGACAATTTTGTTTCTGGTAGCTTCATGCTGAAGAAGGAGATGATGTTGAACCGAGAACAAAAGTGAGACTGATTGTACCCCATAGTTCTTGTGGAGCTATAATTGGGAAAGGAGGGTCCACTATAAAGTATGATGATTATTCCTCATTTCTTCTAGTACCATTTTCTTGGTTACGAATTGCTTTATAATTTACTAGCTTAAACAGTTCATTATTGTATTTAATTTTGAAGTTTTAAATTCATTTATTTATTTATGTTAGACAAGAAAAATAATAGCTAAGTGAACATTTTTTAGTGATTCCTGCAGGGTATTTTCTATCTAAATTTGTATTAAGGTGCAGTTTCGTTGCATGGGTTGTTAACAACTGCTGGCTTGTTTCTCTACGATTTTTTTCCTTCAACTATATGTGTTTATAGGGAATTGTGTAGTGTAGTTTTTTTATGGTTACAATTGCAAGTTCAGATCTAAATCCTGTTATGCTAGTTCCAGTGTACAAGTGTTTTTCTTTTTGACGGATTGTGTACAAGTTTTATTGAAAGGAAGTACTGACTCTTTTCGTAACCCATAAGTTTGACCTTCATGTCCAGGAAGAAAGTACCACTTGATATATTAGTTCTGTTTTCTATTTGAAAAGCACATAATGAATTTGTGGTTGTGATAGAATTATAATATGTTTTGTTTATTGACTACTAAATGGTGTATGTTAGAAGTCGATCATTCCTAACAGGAAGCAAGTAATGGTGTTCTAATGAAGTTGTTTAAGGATTTGGGAAATCTTGTATGTGAGTTGCATAATAAAATGGATTAGGATTACCTTGGGTAATATTGTGGTTAGGGGGTGAATGTTTAAGTAGTAGAGTCAGTATTGTGCTAGTGAGGTTTCACAATTGTATTATTAGCTAAGATTTCCCACCAAAAATGGGCAAAAAAAAAAAAAGAGGAAGAAAACCTTCAAGAGTGTACACAGAAATAGATGAACTCAACTTGGATGAGATTTGAGAATGGAAAAGAACTTTAGAGGATAGAAATGATTGTTGTTTCTAAGATGGTTATGAAGTGGTCTTGTCTAAGTATATATATTGATTATTGAGTGGCATTCTTTCCTTTCATAGACACATTGATTTGAAGAGTATCCATCTCCTACAAATTAAATGTGCTACAATGTTTTTCCTGCGTCACCTTCATGTCCCACAATGGTTATGGCCCTTAGCTGTGTAAAAGTCACTTTACTTCATTTTCTAGCTACAATTTAAATGACATCTTGATCAATTGGAGGGATTTTTTGTAACTCATCTTCATGGGTTCCTTCCCCATTTTGTATATATTTCATACTACCAATGAAATATGTGTTTCTCATAAAAAAGAAAGAAAAGTCCTATGTCTGTATTTGTGTTGCTGAGGTGTTCTAGTTAGCTCTCTGGACATCATTAATATTGGTAGAGGTATGCCATGGTTAGTGCTTTAAGAGAATTTACAAAGTTTCTAAGAAAGAGTGCCATTATTTATCTAGAATACCTTCATTAATTTGGCAGTTGCTTTCGGTCCTTCCAGTGTTCTTATCAGTCTTGGACTGTTCATCTAGTCAATATCTTTTAATTTGGTATGTCTCATCAAGGCCTCTTTTCTACATTCTAGGGTAGAATTTATATTGGCGTTACCTGCTTTTCTCCATCACCTAGAGGATATGCATAAAACAATTGTAGTTCACCTCAGTCGGGAAAATGAATATGGCAGAATTGTTTGAAGAAAACTTGTCGCATCAGGTAATTGACTAAGTAGCTGAATGGGGAAAGGGGAAAGGAAGAGAAGTAAAGGACAGAGTTACCTCAGTCAGGGGGAACTATCTGAAAGTTGCATAAATCATGCTTTACTCTGTAAGCTTTGTTCTTCGGCTGGAAGATGACCTGACCCTGCAGTTTTTTTAGAGCATGGAGTGATCATTCCTTTGGGTTCAGTTTCAGTTTAAAACTGTCTGAAGTTTTGGCAACTTCATAATAGTTGGTTTGCATCTTTGTCAAGTCTAGTGACGTTTTCTTTATCATTTTGCACTCATACATAATTATGTATTTGAAATTTGAATTCCAAATTTCATCATGTTTGAGGGTTTTTTTTTTCGGCTGTTATTGGTTTGGCCAAATTCCAGTGTTTTTTTTGGTGTTCACTCTCAATTCATTTAGTAACTTTACCTCATTTGTAATTAATGCAAGTTCAATTAGTTTTTTAGAAACTCCTAATGGAGGTGTACCTGGTTGGGTTATATCTTGAGGTAAACTTTTCATGAAATCAATGATATCAATCTCATTATACCATAAAAGCTTTTTGCCTCTACCATTATCAGGTCATTCATTGAGGACTCTCAAGCTGGCATTAAGATATCCCCCCAGGATAATAACTATATGGGATCCACTGATAGGCTGGTGACACTGTCTGGAACTATAGAGGAACAGATGCGAGCTACTGACTTGATTGTCTCGAAGCTATCTGAAGATCCACATTACACCCAGTCAATGAATTATCCATTTTCGTACCCGAGTATGTCTTTGTTTAACTTTTCTATTTCATTATGGTATTATATTATTCCTAACAAAAGCTATTAAACACCCACTTGCATTTTGTGTTTTGGCACATGTACTTCATCTCATTTGGGGTACTTTTTTTATCTGCTATATTCGATGCTGCTGGATTATCTTGGTGATGACATGAATAATTTATGTTTTATACAAATCAAACAAGTAGTTGTAGTTGTAGGTCTAAATTGTAACAGATGGTATGTTGAAAAAATGTATTAATCCGCCTGAAGATAACTGACTTATCACTATTATGCAGTGGTCAGAAAACAAGAATGGTCAAATTAGATACTCCTAAATGTTAGCATTATTTTATTTTCTGCCTTCCATCTTTTCTTTTCAGACTTTTCCATTTTTCCATTTAGAAGTGTTGAGAATCTAAATTGGATTTTTCTCTAATTAAAAATGTATTACTCTTCAAGTAGTTAATTTTGGCCTTATACTTTTGAGGAACTCCGAACTTCTGAGATATGGGTCAAAAAAGAGCTGGGATGGTAGTTGAGGAAGTTTTGGATTTATTCTAGGAATCTCTAAAGTTTCTGACCTACCACATAATGTAAAGTAGTGCCAATAGTAGAGTCTAGTTTCTAGTATGTTGAGAGCCAATATAGAGAGCTTATAGTTACAAAAAGGTGAATCTAACGAAACCCAAGAGGGGGAAACAAAAGCACAATAATCCCAAACAATCAGCACATCATGCCTTTCAGGTGATATAATTGCCGAAGTTGGTGTATCAGCGCAGCTATTTTGTTAATTATTGCCATTAGCATTATTTTAGGGATCTACTTGGAGTATAAATGTTAGGAAATGGTTTTTGAACTAGGAAGGGAGCTGATTGCAGAATATTTTGCTGTTTCTGCTATTTTCCTTGCCCATTTAATCTATTGTTTTTTATACAGCATCATACAATACTATGAACTACGGATCCAATGGGGGAGCTGGAGGGAGGTTCCAGAACAATAAGGTTTGTTCTTGAACGGCAGCTTTGCTATCATTATTCTTGTCTGATTGAGAGATCTCTGGAAAATAAGTTACCGACTTTGGTGCTTTAATGCACTCTAATTGGTCTTTCACCATTAAACTGGTATATGCTTGTGATACCATAGCCATTAGTATTTAATATAGGCTTTTCCAGATAGAAAATTTGGGAAATAATCTCAATGGTTTTACGTGGATGTTAGATTATACATTATATCGTCTGAAACAACACTGCCATGCATAGGGTTAACTAATATAGTTGATATCGATGGTCAGAAAGCTTAAAACCCATAAATGTGATGCTTCTCTCATTATATGAATTTCTTGCATTTAAGAATTTCCTGATGCCAATGTCAGGCAGGAAAGGTGTTCCTTTGATACTGGATGTTCTTTATCGATAACAAGCATTCACATAGACAAGAAAGGGTAAATTGCAGGAGAATGTGGAATAGCTGTTCAACTTTTCACCCAGAAGAGAAGTTAAAAAGAAATGAGTAGAGAATAAGATAGCGAGTAAAGAAGCCAGTTATTATGGAGTAGAACGCAATCAAATTTTACTAGAGAGCAATCAATAGCCTTCCTGTTTTATAGCCTAAAAGAGAAATTTATGCACTTGCATTTTTTGTTTCCCGTTCAATCTGTCTGTGGAGCGTGGACTTAAAAAGAATCTAGAGAGTGGTTTCCTCTTTTAATGATTCCTCTTCTCCCAGGCCCCATCCTCCTAACTGCTTGAAGAAATAAAAAATGCATGCAATTGCATAAAACCGGGACTTAATGCGATTGCATAAGTTATTTGTCAATACTTTTTTTATCCTTCCCTGTGACTTTATGACATTGTTGACAGAAGATCTTCTGAAATTGTCCAGGAGGAACGGAGTAACTCCTTGACTATTGGCGTTTCGGATGGCCACATCGGGTTGGTTGTTGGTCGTGGTGGAAGAAACATACTGGAAATTAGTCAGGTTCTAACCCCTCCACCCCAACACTTTCTATTTCCTTTCTGTGCATGAGGCGTTGATATCATTCAAGTTCACGAACGTTACTGTATCATTCTTTTGCAATAAAAAGCTTTTCTTATTACAGGCTAGTGGAGCCAGAATTAAGATATCAGATAGAGGAGATTTCATGTCCGGAACCACTGACAGGTACAGAGGTTCTTTTGGTAAATCCCTTCTTACTTTGGGTACGCAAGTTCTTCATGGTAACAGTAGCATACTTGATTGGTCCATAACTTGCAGGAAAGTAACAATTACGGGGTCACAAAGGGCAATCCGCACCGCTGAATCGATGATTATGCAGAAAGTAGCATATGCTTCTGAGAGGGTAATGCCTTTCAAATTCCTTAAAGACATTCTTACCGAAAATTCTCAGTACATTTCTCTTACGCTCTGTAGAATCTTTTTCTTTTTCCGGGTCGGTTCAGGTTCTAGCACAGTGATAGAATGATTGGAAGTTCAGAATGTTTGTAGTAGAAGCAAGGCCGGGAGATTTTCATTTTTACCATTGAGGGAGAGCTTGTGAATGGCGATGGTCAGAGAAATAGAGTTTAAATTTGTCGAAGCGTTGGGAGAAGCCAGCATTTGATTGAGTCGAATAGAATGATTAGCAGTTTCAAATTGTTTATACAATTGTAGCCCCTTGAATTTATTTTTATATTTTTATGTTTGAGATTTTTATCTCTATTAAATTGTTTGAACGTGCCTTCTCTTCAGAACAGATTTTAGCTTCTTTAGGATGTTCTATTTTCATTTATGGGTGAATTCTTTAGTCTTGAGTTAATTTAATATTGGGCTTGCTGAGAATTTTGGTTATTGTATGTGCTGTTTTTAGCGGAGCGGTAATTGACATCTGTTCTTTCTCTGAAGGTCGGAGATTCAAACTCTTATACATAATCTATGTTTGTACAGCCCATAGGGCCTAAGCCTTTTTTTCTAGTGTCTCTAACACATTCTTGAACTTATAAAAGTGTCTAATAAGTCTCTAATATCTAATAAGTAGACTTATTATCTAATAAGTTTTTAAATTTTATAACATGTTTAACCAATCTATGAACCTTTTTATTTTGTATTTAATAGGTATTATGGCTTATGAGATATAAAATTTAGATTTATAGATCAATGTAAAAGTTTAGAAAGAAAAATATTTATGTGGTTTTGTCAAAATCTATTTTTCTACTAACCACGCCTACCAATAAAACTTGGTAGCTATTTCATTTTACGATAAATTGAAAAATTATTTATTTTCTACATTTCTATTACTAAAAATTTAATAGTGGTTAGTAAAAGATGAGTGTTAACTTATCTAAGTATTCTTTAGATATTATTTAAAATTCAAGGACTTAGGGACCACAGTCTTAAATTCAAGAACCACGTTTTAAAGTTGTCTATGAATGTGACCAATGAGAGAGATATAAAAAGGGTTGACATATTGGATAGTGAAATGAAGTTTATTAAACTCAATTTTGAAGGAATATGTCCACACTTTTTTACTAAATCAAATTCGTCAATTGTTTCTTTTTATTTTTAAAGAAACATTAATATATTCCCACTTCTGTAATTTACATGGCACGAGAAAAAAATGACATAAGAGAATAAAATTAGAAGTTAGAACGACAAGAAGATCGATGACACTTTATTCATTTATTTATGATATGGAGAATTTGGTGATAACCGAAAGATAAGATATACTTTAGTTTAGACCATCATACAAAATACTAAATTTTTATTCCGATATTCTCTCCCGCTGCATTACACTTTATTTCAAAATACTTCTAGAGATAAATTCTAGCTATTATATTATGAATATTATTTATGTGCTTATCAATAAGTAGATATCTCATACTTACCGCTATGAAACAATTGACAACTATTTATTCTATCTTCTATCTTCTTTCTTTGATGCATTCATTTTTTAGCTATCAATTTTTTAGCAGTCAATTTTTTAACGGTGATAAATAGGAGATACTACTCATTAACCATCACCTAAATATTATTCATATATTATATTATGTTCATGGTGATTCTTCATTCGTGCCTCCTCCATATCCCGACCCATAACCTGACCCATATCCAGATCCATATCCAGATCCTCCACCCATTCCTCCTCCGCCGCCTCCTCCTCCTCCGCCACCGCCACCGCCACCGCCACCACCGCCCCTACCCCTTCCGTTTCCATAACCTCCCCCACTTCCGTACCCTGAGCCATATCCCGATCCACTTCCAGTTCCCGAGCCTCCACCTCCTCCTCCACCTCTGCCACCTCCACCACCACCTCCTCCCCCACGTCCTATCCCACCACCACGCCACCGCCACCGCCACCACCGCCCCTACCCCTTCCGTTTCCATAACCTCCCCCACTTCCGTACCCTGAGCCATATCCCGATCCACTTCCAGTTCCCGAGCCTCCACCTCCTCCTCCACCTCTGCCACCTCCACCACCACCTCCTCCCCCACGTCCTATCCCACCACCAGACCCGTACCCAGACCCAAACCCACGACCGTACCCAGCCCCGGTTGCACCTCCACCTCCGCCGCCGCCTCCTCCGCCACCCCCACCACCACCACTTCCATATGGGCCATACGGACCGTAGGGCTCATATGGCTCATAGGCTTCATCTCCAAATCCTGAACCATAGCCCGATCCATAACCGGAACCATACCCGGAACCTGAGGGTCCGAAGCCTTCACCACCCCCTCCTCCGCCGCCAGTACCGCCTCCATAGCCCCTAAGAGATCTAGCGGCAAGAGTTAAGTCCACCATTAACAAAACCAAGACCACCAAACCAATCGCCCTGGTGCTACTGCTGCCCATTGATGCCTGTAATTGTACCAAAAAGCAGCGCTGGGCGTAGGCTTTTTATGTAAGAATACAGGAGAAAAGGGAAAGTATTATAGTTGTAGTTGTAGTGCATTGGAAATGGTGGGATTTTGAGTGCCTTATTTATAGGCATTGGGGAATTGGGGTTACGTTTTGAAACTGAATTTTCCAATTTCTAGTTGCTTCTTTGTCACAAGTTTGATTTAGTGGAGTTGGTGAATGTGATCAAGCACACATATTCACATTGCTCTTTCTCTTTCTACTTCTCTCCCTTCATCCCATTTTATCTTTCCCGTCGTATAAACAATATAATCCAATTTTTCCCTTACTTCAATTTTTGTTAGTGCAATACGTGGGATGAGAGATCAAACTCACAATTTCAATTTGAAATATATATCAATTATCATTGAGTTATGTTCGCTTTGATTTTAACTTTTAATACAAAGAAAAACTCATACAAGTTATTTTATAATATTTTTTTTGTTTAGATCGCAAAATATATCAATAAAGTTTCACGTTGGTTAAGATTATTATCTCTACGAGATATTTTGAGTGAAATCAAAAGTAAAATCGCCAGATCAGTTATAGTTAAAACGGACAATATTATATTACTATAGAGATACTTAAGAATACGAAGGGACCATTCGTCTTAGAATTTTCTATTGAAAATGGGGCACCAAAGAGACGAAGGCTAAACCATTTATCATGACATTCAGACAATCTAAATTTGTTGTCATTTACTTGATAAATTTAGTTACCAGAACCAGAAGGCAGAAGGCAGAAGGCAGAAGGCAGAAGGCAGAAGGCAGAAGGCAGAAGTCAGAATTTATTTAAGATTTTTAGAACTATGAGCCACGTGTCCTCTTCCTTTTCTCTGTTCATAGTATAGAAGTGGTGCTTCTTTAATTAATCATTATATTACTCCTGTAAATCCTTCGGATTGCTAATTTAGAACCAATATTTTATTTATGATCAATGGACAACTGACACAACATATGAACCTTCTGGAGAGCATTTTATTTCTTCTTTCTTTTGAGATTTAATTTATTGCTAAATTTCCTTCTATCACAGATTTGAGATTCGACATATACATACGTTGTGAATCGACATTTCTATAGTATTGAAAAGAAAACACAACAAAATATAGAAATTTTCAATATAAAATATCACTAAGGTAGACATAATATTAATATTAATCGTTTTTAGTTTATTTAAAAAGAGCTAAATGCTTATTTGTTAATTTAAATATTTTTTATGTTTTTTATTTTTATTTTTACATCATTTTCAAAAATATCCATCTACATCAATATTTTACCGATATCCGACATTTCTATGAAATTGAGACCTTGACATTTTCATCCACATGGACATTTAAAACTTCGGTGACACCATCTTTTAGATTCAAAATTTTTTGCTTTCAGTGATTAATATAGGTTTTTCTCCTAGTTCAGTTGAGGAGCTTTTTATTACTAGATTTTTGGTGCTTTCGTTGGGTGATTTATTGATAAATTTTAGAAAATTTCTTTTCACTTGATATTATTTGAGAATATTTTACCTTCAATTTTATATCATTTATTTCACATTTAGAATTCAATTCCATAAAATTAAAACTTTTTAAAGTTGAAATTAGAGAGAAGGGATGAAACTTCTAAAGGGATAATTATTAATGGATTATTAAATTAATTGTCGACTTGAGCATAATTCAACTGATTAAAATATCTTTAATTAAAAAGTCGTGAGTTTGAATTTTCAATCCCATATATTATATTAAAAATAAATAAACAAATAATGGACCATAAACCCACCAAGTGCAATTCACCTACCCTACCATGCCTTAGTGGAAAATTATATGTTTCTTCCTTTTTTTCTTCAAATGTAAGCTTAGAATGACAAATGGCAGTAGCCCTTTGTTTTTGCCCACTTCCTTTGTTTTGTGGAGTCTATGATATAATGAGCCCTTCAATCATACCAACATTACCCCTCCTATATGGTCCAACCTTAGAAACCAAAATTAAAAAAATAAAAATAAAAAATACCCAAAAAGTTACTTCCAATCACCTGATTATTTACAGTTTTGAGTGAAAATCAGATCAATTTACAACCATACACTTGGGATACTCTTGATGAATTGTTGTTATTAATTAATTATTATATGAGCATTTATGAGTGCATTTTTCTCCATTAGAGGGAGATATGGTCGACCATTATTTCATAGATATACCTCTGTAATTTATCGGTTAAATTACAAGTTTAGTCTACAAATTTTTGAAGGTCGTGCTATTAGATCTCTACACTTTAAAAGGTCTAACTAAATCTTGAACTTTTAATATTGTGACTAATAAATCATTAACCTATTTAACATTTTAAAAATTCATGGAATTTTTGGCTTTCAATTTTATTTCTAATAGATTCGTGTAGTTTGAAAAATGTTTAATATGTCGTCGTACAAAATTAAAAGTTATTGAACAGAAACCTATTAGGCATTTTTTAAAATTTAGAGATATATTAGACATAATCTTTGAAGTCTATGGACTAAACTTGTAATTTAACCTCGTTTATTTTAGAGCACTCTAGAGTTTTGAGAAAAGCTGTTGCTGTTTGAATTGTGAGACAAGATCCTTCCTCAAAATTTTGCCTGCAAGGGACCTTGGAATGGCATTGATAAATTTCACTCCTCTTACCTTCTTGTAAGGTGCCACCTGAAAATTTTTTATACTTAATTTATTTTCTCACACATACATAAAAAAAATTAAAAAAATAATAAATAATAAAAAGCAATTATTGTATTATTCGCCATTTTTTATATTATATTTATATATATGAATATGTATTCGTTGTATCTTATAAATTGATAGACTTATTTTTACGAGTAGTACTATCCTCATAATTTCAAGCAATATTTTAAATTTGAAATTAAATCCAGAATAATGAATAATAATTTAGAGTTTAATAGTTTCAAAAAAAAATAAAATTAGAGTTTAATAGTAAGGGTAAGAATGTAAATTATCTGACAAAGTCCCTCATTTATTGGCCTAGTTGAGTAAAATCGAGATCAAGTCTTGAAGCCTATATAGCTCATTCTCGCTACCACTGTCGTAATTTTGGATAGAAAATTTTATACACGTGCGCACATATATATTTATGTAATTTTTGGTGGGTTACCAAATATCACAATATAAAAAAAAAGTGTTCATTAGCTAATTAGAAGAACTTTTAAGGACCATTTGTGTGTGTGTATATATATAAACTTAATTAGCCCTTAAATTATTTGGTCTGTTTTGAAAAATCATTAAAATTAAAACTAATACTCTATATCTTAGCAAGACCTATATTTATTGAAAATTTTGATAGAAAGTATAGAAATGTCAAATTTCTTCATGGATATAGGCTTCGATTTCTGTAATCTAGAACTATAAAATTTGACCTTGTGTTTAGTTTATGATTTGATTTTACATAGAATTAAGTTATAAAATTCCGTATTTGATGGGTAGATTTGTGATTTGTAAAAGCATGTAGCTTGAGTTGCGGTTTTAGAAGCCCAAGTTTATGTAGTTTTTATAGTTCATGAGATAATTAAACTCTAGCTTTCAATTCCCTCATATAAAAATTGGAGATATATGCACTTTCAAAAGTACGATACATTTGATAATTTTTTAATTTTCTTTTTTTTAAGTTCAACACGTAGGCAAAAATTAAAACCTCCTATTTTTTGATAAAAAATATATGTCTCAGGTTGAAGTATAATTTTCAATTGATTAGCCTTCCTTTCTATCATAATTATAATTACTTTTGAAACTATTATTCCTACCATATTTAATTCATATTATGCTATATTCACAGTCCCTAATTAAAGCATTAGAAGATGCCCAGACATATTTGGAAGGTTGCGTGGGCTAAAGGCAGGCCCACTAAAATGCAGGTTAAGCCTATTTAATTAAAACCATAAATAAAATTAAATGAAAAATTAAGAGGTGGGTGCAAAGAGAAAATACCTGGGAAGCGACAAATTGGATGACTTGGTCTTCTGTAAGCTGACTAGTGGATGCTTTAACCACACAAGCCACCGGAATCTGCCCGGCGGCTTCATCCTCCATTCTGCAACACAATACAATACAACACAATCTCAGTGCTCACTCTTCACTGTTCTATAGATTTAGAGAGAGATTTAAGAGATTAAATTAAACCCACGGTATAACGGCAGCATCCAGAATTTCTGTATGGCACACAAGAATCGTTTCCAGTTCTGCTGGAGCAACCTGCATCCAGATTTCAGAGTATTAAACATCCAAAAGATCAAGTTTCTAACAAGATTTATAAGATATATGGACTACCATGATTCAGTTCAAAAATGAAATGCAGCTAAATTTAGTGAGAGCAGAAGAACCATAAGAATCAAACCATGAATATTGATGCAGAGTTCTTGGCATTAATCAGATTGCTATATGATAATTTTAAGGACCAGGTAGGTGTTTTGTTTGTACCTGGTATCCATTGTGCTTGATCAGCTCCTTGATTCGATCAACGATGTAAAGGAAGCCATCTTCGTCTATGTACCCGAGATCCCCTGTTTTCAACCATCCTTCTTCATCCATGGTGGCTTCTGTTGCTTCCTGATTTCCGAGATATCCTTTCATTATTGTTGGACTCTTCAGCCACAATTCGCCTTCCTTCATCGGCGGCAGTCCCTCCCCTGTTTCAATGTCTACGATCTTCGCAGAAAATCTCGGCATCAACATTCCGCACGAACCTTATTGAAAGAATATGAACAATTGATTAAAATCTAAGTCTATTGTACTGATTTCTACCCCCGCAGATGAAGGAATTTCTGGATACCTGGATGAGTTTTGGCGTCTGTGTCTGTAATAATGCAAGTCGCTGCTCCAGTACTCTCTGTTAAGCCATATCCAGGCCGAAGCTCCACCCATGGAAATTTCTCTCGGAATGCGTCTTCTATGTCTTTTCCCAGCGGTGCAGCGCCGGATCCGATGCGTCTCAGCGATGATAAGTCCGAACCACCGCCCGATTTCACTAGCCCTAGAATCACCGGAGGTACCGCTGGTATGTTGTTAACTTTGTATTTTTCAATTGCGTCGATCATGGCTTGGAAATTGAATCTCTGCATCAAAATGATGGTGATTCCTCTGCAGAAGAGTCCGAGGCCGAAGAAGACGAGGCCGTAGATGTGAAACATCGGAATGAAGCACAAAAACACGTCGTTTTCAGAGGAACTCGCGTCCACATACAAGGTTAGAAGTTCGATAACGGAGATGAGATTTGAATGCGTTAGAACTACTCCTTTACTCGTCCCGGTCGTTCCCGACGAGTACAAGATCGCCGCCGTATCGGACTGAGTCACTTCCGTGTTCGGCAATGACTCAGACGAGTCGGCGCAGGATTCGATCAACTCTTCCACCGATAAAACATCATCGCCAGAGGAAGGCCGAGTAGTCAGAATCGTCGGAATTCCAGTCGGATTAAGTTTGTGAATCTCCTCCGGCGCCGATACGGCGAGTTTCGCTCCTGAATCACGCACTTGCTTCGCGATTTCCGACGCAGTATTCACTGGATTGGCCGTTGTTATCACTGCACCAACCGACAACACAGCCAAACAGATAACTGGATACAGAATCGAATTCGCCGATAAAACGAACACGACATCGCCTTTTCTGACTCCGAGCGCGTGGTGAAGTCCGCAAGCGAGGGAGCGAATCGAGGCACTGAGTTGTCCATAAGTAACTCGCGAGCTCGTGACCGAGTCAATGAGAGCAACTCGCGATTCGGCCTTCGGAAACTGCGATAAGACGAAAGTGGCCGTGTCGAGATCTGGCCTGCTGGAGATCTTACGAGCTTCATCGAACTTGACAAGTGAATGATAAACCGCAATATTCACATCGTAACCGCCCTTTGAAAGCGGCGGCGGAGGAGCATTCTGCCGTGGATATTCCCCGGCGGCCGGAGCAGTGTACGATTCTTCGCCGGACATGTTAGATTTGGGCGGGCGATCGTGATTCTAAAACAATTCAATTTACGTGATAATATATAGGGCTTTCTGTTTGGCATTTAGGCGACAAAATCGAGGTATTTTCTTCCGTCGTGACTCATGAATCAATCGCTGCGCTCCAAAATATTTATAATCGAGCCGGCCGGTGAAATTACTCAACACCAAAAATACAACGCAATATCGTAACAATCCAATTTGAGACTATAATAAATATTTCATAAGACATGTTCTCGGATTTGTATTTTACAAACATGTTCTCTTCATAATTTGGTATTTGAAATAAACTATGTTTCCGCGGTGTTTAAGCAAAATAATGGCAACTTGAAGAGTATTTTTTGTCTTTCTTACTAAGTATATCCGCCATAGATTCTTGTTGTTGAAGCGGATTCGTCCTATGCTTCATTGCGCTCGTTCTTCCTTTCTGTACTTTAAACCTACCTCGCTCTATCCCTATACTATATAAGAAATGAGTTTCAAAATCAGTTGAAAAGAACTTTGAAGGATTTTTTTTAACAGCACAACGTCATGATCTTTTCGAGCCTTTTGTGGTTTCGTCGGACCTTAGGTAACGTTCTTTCTTATCTTCGATCGAACTTCATGGTACTTGCATCACAATGACGTCTAGAACATTCACCCAAACTATTCTCATGCATGAGCATCTTCTTGCCCATTGTTGGCTTAGTCTCAAGTGAAAGTTCGCAACTACGCGCGTAACTTGGCTTGCTCTCAACAATGCATGCCGCTCGTACGTGCATTTCAACTCTTTCATGACTCTAGCTAACTTTTAACAGAGTGCTGATCTTTGAGGAGGGACCTTATCAGGATGAGTGCTAACTTTTAAAGGAGTCAGAACTAGCTTAAAACGCCTATTGGTTACTACTGTGTGATTCATGCCACTGAATTATGTCATAACTAGCTTTTCGTGGGCATCAAACACTTCTAAGACCATTCCTGCCACATAGCTAGTTCGTAACAAGCTTTACGAGCTTACTGAATACTACTTGGATGATTCCTGTTGAGATGCGGACAATGAATAGCTTAACATGACAACTGAGATGATAGTCTTGCCACTTACTGGGCCAATATTAGCTTTTTTTCTCTTACCATGTGTCCACCAGTACTTTAGGATGCCACCGAGAATTAGGGTGTCATCGAACTTCGTTGCTTGTTCGGACACACTTATAGAGAATTGACCCATGGATTCATACTTTTGATCGAGACCTTCTGAACTCCATCCATCCAAATACTATCGAGACATGATGACTCTCACGCCCATATCGTCTCGCTTGAGCATACTATCCTAGACAACAGCTCTATAGTGCAACCTCGAACAGAGGCACAATGCTGGCACATTCATGCCACTCGACACTGTCCTTGCAATGCTCACGCACGCCATGACACACGTATGTGGCATGAGGTAGCTTGCTTAGACCATAGAGCCTAAGTATGATAGAGAGTTAAACCATGCCTCCCCAAAGGTACTTTCTAAGGCATTATTGTTCTGACAAGCACGTGGAAAGTGGCAAGAAGTCACTCACAACATAGAGCGCATGTCTGAACTCCGATTGACACGAAATTTAGCATGTCTGATCACTAATACTCATCTAACTTTAAAACCCCTCGTCCAAAACTCTCGACGAAACCTTGACTTTTGGGATCATGGCCCAAAGTCCTAACTTGCTCCCATTGAGTATGTCAATGACACCACTGACATTTCCTTTGCTTCCCGTCCTGCTGGCATTTTATCAAAGCTTTCTTGTGCACATCCTCTTGATGTGTTAAGTGATGAACCATCTTCCTTACTCGTATCACGACACTTATCTCTCGATACTAGACATGGCTTGATGGTTGACACATGCATATCGCCGCCATTTGGGCCACTTCGTGGCATCACAACATACTAGTTGACACTTACCGTTTGATAGGTCCCGATGACTAAACAATTACTTTTAATAGAAAATAAAATATTTACCCACTCACACTTTTTGGAGAGTTGCTTCTATTGACCTGTGTACCTGTGTAGTATTATTCTCAAAACAATTTTTAGTCGGTATATAAGAAATTTTTTCATAATACAATAATATTTATTAAACATAAATTTAAATATATTAAGCTAGTGAGGGAGTAGAGACTAAGGGAGCACTACAAATCTTCCCATGTGGCGCTTTTTTATTTTTTATTTTTTTACTTTTTGATGTAGGAGAGAAAAATTAAAATTGTGACTTGATCGTAGATCTAATAAATTATGAGGGAGGTGGCCACGATTGAATTATTTTCGTCTAAGCTAGGAACATGGAGTCATCAATTAGAAGCTCCCATTTAGTTTCTTTTCCATAATTTTAGTGGTACAAAAATATTTATGAGACTTATTTACGATTAAATGTAATAAAAAATATATTAATACAAATAAACCACTTTTAGTGTACTTTTTAATTCTAATTTTTATATTTAGTTCATTTTTAACATAGAAAAATGTACTTAAAATTTTTATATTATATTTAATTGAAATTTTGCATGATAAAACACATAGTATTTATTTTGATCTCACACTCAATAACAATTGACTTAATATTGTTGTTAAATACAATATATATAAGAATTTAACCAAAAAACTAAAATGAGTATTTATTGAAATTTGGGGATCAAATAAAAAAATGTCTTAAAAATTAAATTTAAAGCAGAAAAAAAAACATGGTTAAGCTGAAATTTAAATTTACGATAGGAAGAAATATTTCTTTACAGTAATATCTTCTTTACAAGGAGTGTGTCTTAATGAGATTCTATAAACTTTTTCATAACTTGGAAAAGTTTGGTTATTTTCCAAGCCCATTTGCCCCTAGGGTTTGAATTTCTTCCAAATCAATAACTTTTTATATATCTCATAATGTCTTCCAATAAAATAAATAAAAGAAAAGGAAAAAAAATGCAACCAAAAAAAAAAAGTTTCAAATTTCAAATACTAGTTAGCAATATATGTTGCAAAAAGATATACAGATTTTGCATGAATAATCTTAAATATATAGACATAGAAGAAGAATTTCAATACAGCTAAAAATATATATATAGAGCGTAACACATATAGACAAAAAAATCTAACCTAAAATATCAATATCTACTTTACAAATATATACCTCACTTTTAAATTTATAGGTAACTTTTGAGTTGAATAAAGGATAATAACTATTAATATTCATGGAGTTGCATCTCAAAACCAATTGGCAATGAGAGGAGATCCCATTTTGGACCGAATGCTTGTTTGAACTTGTGAGCTCTGATACCATATTAATATTCATGGGGTGATACCATATTAATATTCATGGGGTTCCATCTCAAAACCAATTGGCAATGAGAGGAGTGCCCATGTGTATTATAAACCATTGTTAAGTCTCTTATCAATGTGGGATCCTTAACAATAACACTGCATAATCAAGTCCTTACATAGATGAATTGTGATCTCAACGTTAAATAGTGAAACTCAAAAATAATTTAAAAAATTGAATAAAAAAAACTTTTATATAATTTGATTATGTATAATTTTAGAGAGAATGAAGGGGAAAAAGAGAGACTTGAATTGAGAGAGTAGAACAATTGAAATTTGAATGTGATTGTGACACCTATATTTTATCTTGTAAATGGTATTATTTGGATATTCATTTGCAGATGAAATTCAACCAAAAGTCATTTTTGAGAACTAAATGATGAATTATTCAAAAAAGAAAAGAAAAAGAGAGAGAAATAAATGACGAATGATAGAGACTCTCCATTGGAAGAGAGCTTTTGTTTTTGCATATGTAATTGTATATTCTTTGCACTTTTTTAGAAACAAGGATAAAAACAAGAATGAGAGCACTATATATGTAATTATCTTTTTTATATTATGCCAATATATTATTTAAATAACATGACACAATTTATCCTAACTTTTAAAAATTCATGCTTTAATATTTTGACCAAAAAAGTGTTTTTAGTATTACAAACACTTAAAATTGTTAACCTAAACAAATATTTTCTACTCGGTATTCTAAGTTTCAAAACATAAAATTTGGTTCCCTATCTTTAATAAATAGTTTTAAATATTTTTTAATATTTTTTAGTTGAACTTTATAGTGTCACTTACGGAATGTTGACATGAAAGTTTGAAGAATTAAATAAAATAAAATAAGAAATAACAATGGGATAAGAGACAAACAAAAATGTGTATATAGGATTCTAATGACGTTGTTGAGAATAGATTAGAAGAAAAAATTTGTCACGAAAGACGATTATCACATTGTTTTCTTTTTCATTTTTTTTTTTTATTCAGATGTCATATAATTTAAAATAAACACATAAGCAAAAGATACATGATCCTTAAAAGTTTGGAACAATAACAAAAGTTGGAATCTACAAATTTTTCTTGTTTCTGTTTTTTTTTTCCACTACCTAAAGTAGAATTAACTACCATCAACACTCATACAAGGATAAAACATAATTTTTATTTATATAATGATAAATTGAAAATGAGAACAAGAAATAAAAAATTTGTTTGCGTTGTTTCAATTATTTTTATACAATTTTGAGAATGTTTTTTTTAATAAATAAATATAAATAATGGTTAAATAATTAGATTTTTTAATAAAATTGAAAATGATTACAAAAATGAAGATGTTACGGAAGGGGCGCGACGAAATTAAAATCTATCCAAAGTCGAATTTGTTCGTCAAGACAGCAACATTTGGGAAGGAAACAGCGGTTAAAGGCCCAAATTCCCAATCTCAGGTTCTACATCTTCTAGTTCGACACGTGTCACCAACGACGCCTTACAATTTTTTATTTCAAATAATCCTTTTGCTTTCTACCTCCATTTTTCTCCATCTCTATCCTTCTCTCCCGCTCCCAACTCCATAGCCAGAAACTCACAAACCTTGCTTCTCTTTCTACGCCTAATCCCTCTTTCTCTCTCTTTCTCGTCGTAGGAACCTCCTTTTTCCCCTCTTGAGATCACCAATCTCTCCAATTCTGTCTCTCGCCGAGTTCCAATCTCTCTCTGCTGCAATGGGGGTAGCAGAGCTATCGTCTTCTTTGAAAACTGACCTGAGTTTATCATCCAAGGCTATTTTTCAGTCGAATCGTTTCTGTGATCGCCGTCGCTGCTCTTTTCTGCAGCTCTCTCGAACTAGAAGTGCTCGAGTCACTTGCTCTATTGCGCCGAAGTGAGCTTCGTTTCTGTACAGTTTTATATGTAGATGTAAATCTTTGCTTGTTTGTTTGTGTTTCTGAGTTCGATTTGAAGATTTTTCAGTTAGAAATGAGTTACGGATTGTTTGCCGTGTTTAATTTTTCAGTGAGGTTGAAGCAGCTCCGGTTGCGGCTAAAACAGAGGAGCCAAAAAGTAAAAGCGAATGCTATGGTGTTTTCTGCCTCACTTATGATCTAAAAGCTGTAAGCTCTTCGAGTTCTTTTGCGGAATTTCTTTGGTTTATTGAAAAAATATAATTCGACTGTCTTAGTGGTGGATTGTAGCTCAGGCTCATAAGATCAATTTCGCCATATCCTGCGAGTTTACCTATTCTTTAGGCTCATTACTTGCCATCTTTTGCTTGTTTTATGCCTGCTCTATTCTTTCATCTGTCCATTCTGAGTTATCCAGCCGTCAATTCCAGGCGCATCCATAAGCTCATGCTCATTATAAAGTACAAACGTGTAAAAATGTTTCGTAATTGTTGGAGTATATGAGGGGGGTTTCTCAAAAGCAACTTGCTCTTTCTTTCATCCCATTTCTTTTTCAAAGGGTGTGTCGTGTGTGCGTATTTTTACAGCAGAGCTTCTATGGTCGTCGGAATTTAATATGCTTTTTTCACTTTTCTGGTTGTCTGTCATTTCCTCTATATAAAATTTCAACCAATATTCATTAATTTAAATTTTAATGTATTTATTTGGGTCATGTGAGATTTCGAAGTGCATAAGTTCCACCCTTTTTTTTTCCCTAAAATTAGCTCCATACTACCCTTCTCTGGATCTGAAAACTTCAATTTCAGAAAATAGCTAATTGGCTGAAGTATAGAGTACAACCCTTATTTCAAAAAATAATTCTTAGTCCTGGAATTTTTTATCTCTCTACTCTATTGGACATCTGAAATATTCTTCTGTACAATTTAACGAATGTTTAGAATTTGAATTGATGATAATATACATATCCCTTATTTTTAGGGGTGAATAGAGACCTTTCTGTTGATTGCCTATTGATATCTTCTGATTAGAGAGAACTGCCCTTATTTCCGGGGTTGTTTTTTAGACGCAATGAAATTTAGTGCGAATGAGTTAATATGTCAGCTTTTGTAGAAATATGCAGCTAGTTCTGTCAGATTGAACAAATCTTTCCTTTTACCTTGACATGTTTTATATTGACCACAGGAAGAAGAGACAACGTCATGGAAGAAATTGATTAATGTTGCAGTGTCTGGTGCTGCTGGGATGATATCCAATCATCTTCTCTTCAAAGTAAGAATTCATTTAAGTCAATCTCTAAAATCTCATGCTGTTTCTTGGGAGGCCTTCATGGTTCTTCCCCAATCCCCATGAGTTCTTGAAGATGTATTATTACACTGCTATACACTTCTCCTGAACATATACCCCAAAAATTGAACCAAATTTACACCCACACGATCAATTTTTGTTGTTGTTGTTGGCTTTTAACACTTTTCCTCCTTCAATATGGAACCTAACGTTTCCCCTCTTTGGACATGCTTCCTCAATCTCATCATACGGCACTTAATTACTTCAACTTTGTGGGATATTTGCTCTAAATTTAGTTCTGGCTTTAGATTATAGTAGTGATACAACTCGTAGTTATTCATATAATATAGTAAATGTTAAGTTCATTAATCTCTTTTACAAATGAAAAACTGGTATTAATTTTTTTGTGCATATCAAGTAGGTGAGTTTATGTGTACTTATCTGATACTAATTGAAGATACTATCCAGTAAGTCATTAGATGATATCATTCAAGCAAGTAAAATCTTGAGACTGAAGAGGTAGCTTGTGGTGTTTTTAAAATGGAAAGCCTGACTAGAGTTTCCGAGTTGTTCTCTGTGCTAGGGAGAAGTAAACTGAACGTCTAGAATGCATAGTAATATTTATGTTCTGATGTTTCATTCTTTCTCTGAAGAAGGAAGGACAATGGTGGTGGGATGCCTTTTTAGGAGAAAACTTGTATTTCTCTCGTTATGTTCTGATGGTCTGGATGAAATCTTACTTTACTTGTTCCCTTAGCTTGCCTCCGGTGAAGTTTTTGGTCCTGATCAACCGATTGCATTGAAATTATTGGGATCTGAAAGGTCATTCCAAGCACTTGAAGGCAAGTTTGGCATTTTTTAAATAACCTTTAGCTTTTAGGATCATTTGATTGCATGCTATTTCTTTAGTCACTCTCGTCATTAATAATTTCTGCACTATATGAAGATACAATAAATGAAAAAAAAAAAGTTTCTTTTGATTCCTCTCTGAAGTTTAGCCTGAACCAATTTTTTTACCTTTGATGTCTTGAGAATAATTAAAATAATAAGAACTTGCAAGTCTGTTCTGTTTGGGACCATCTAACTTTGAGCTTGAACTCCAATCTTCCAACTATATGAATGTTACCGAGGTATATCAAAGCTATGCAATGATATCTCCACATATGCAGGTGTTGCTATGGAATTGGAGGACTCCCTTTTCCCTTTGTTGAGGGAGGTGGTAATAAGCATTGATCCTTACGAAGTATTCCAAGATGCAGAATGGGCTCTTTTGATAGGAGCAAAGCCTCGAGGGCCGGGAATGGAACGAGCCGGTTTATTAGATATAAATGGGCAGATATTTGCCGAGCAGGTACATTAATTGATTGTTTTGTGAGATTCATTTTTACTGTCCCCTCCAAAATAAATATGGAAATTATTACGTTTATCTTTTGATGTTTTCTTTTAACAATTAACATAGGGGAAAGCTCTAAATGCTGTTGCATCCCCAAATGTCAAAGTCATAGTTGTGGGCAATCCCTGTAATACCAAGTGAGTTCATGCTTTGTTCAGCAGGAGTCTATGTAAGTGTGTGCTAGATATAAACTTTTTCCCCTTTTCTTTTCTTGCAGTGCATTAATTTGTTTGAAAAACGCTCCAAAGATTTCTGCAAAGAATTTCCATGCTTTAACTCGATTAGATGAGAATCGAGCAAAATGTCAGGTACCATACCGGATCATACTAGTTTTCTTCACACGTAATATGTTCTGGAAAAGATAAAGCTTCCTTACATGCTAAATATAACTTGTTCAGCTGGCCCTGAAGGCGGGTGTCTTCTATGATAAAGTCTCAAATATGACCATTTGGGGCAACCACTCGACAACTCAGGTCAACTGTTTATGCTCGAGAAGCTTAGCTGGTTTTTTAAGGTTCCCTCTATTATATGCTCTTGAAACTCCGTGTCTTCACTCCAGGTTCCGGACTTCTTGAATGCAAGAATTAATGGCTTGCCCGTTAAAGAGGTTATCAAGGACCACAGGTGGTTGGAGGAGGAATTCACTGAAAAAGTACAGAAGGTAATATTGTGCAGAGTAATTATAGAACATGTACTATTTACAGCTCAATGAATCAAATAGTTTCTTGATTGGGATATCTTGACCAGCACGTTTACTCATGGGGCATACTCTCGATTTGCAGAGGGGTGGTGTGCTGATTGAGAAATGGGGAAGGTCTTCAGCTGCTTCAACTTCAGTATCAATTGTTGATGCCATAAGGTCGTTAATTACTCCCACTCCTGAAGGCGATTGGTTTTCATCTGGGGTAAGTATATTTCTCATATGGCGTCACTTGATTCTATGCATTAATGGTGTTCTATACTATAACGTTGTATTGTAAGCTGATAGACCTCTACTTGGTTCTACTAAGATTCCTAACATAAACTTTTCAAGGACAACAATACCCTTGTACCCAAAGTATGATATTGTTCTCTTTGGGCATAAGTCTCACAGCTTTGCTTTTGGTTTTATCCAAAAAGACCTCATACTAATGAAGATAATTATCCTCACTTATATACCATGGATCAATCTCTTTCCTAACTAATGTGAGACTTTGTTTTCAATCCTTATAAACCAAACACAAATGCATGCTAATAACAAACCTTGAACTCATCGGTCGATTTGCAGGTATATTCCAATGGGAACCCTTACGGCATAGCAGAGGATATTGTTTTCAGCATGCCATGTAGATCAAAGGTAACTTTGTTTCTCAACTTTCTGTTCTTTCTTTCATATCATATTTTCCTTAATGAGTAAATTGCTTCTCTCACAGGGAGATGGTGACTATGAACTCGTGAAAGATGTGATATTTGATGACTATCTCCGCAAGCGAATTGAGAAGGTCTGTTGTTTTCTAGTTCTGTAAAAGTTGGTTTGGAACACATCCCAGTATTCAACATGGAAGAACAAACATCAACTTCTCCATATAAAAGATGAATTTAAGGTTCTACACATATGAAACAAAAATTTTGATCTTTCTTCGGCTCTTCTCATCACATGAATTCACACGACATAACGAAAAACAAAACACTTCGATTTCGAAGCATTCCCTAACCGATTTCGGCTATTGTCGAACCGAGTATTTCATTTTTATTTTGCACTCTCTTGTTTTACAGACTGAAGCTGAGTTGCTAGCTGAGAAGAGATGTGTGGCTCACCTCACAGGAGAGGTCAGATTTAACCCATTTTTTTTCTTTTTTCTTTTTCTTTTTTGGGTAAATTAATATATCTTTGTTATTAACAAAGGATTATCTGTTGAAATTGCTAACAGGGTATTGCTGTCTGTGATCTACCTGAAGACACAATGCTTCCGGGAGAAATGTAAGGCTCATCAGTCCCATCTCTCTGAGCATAAATTTTTTTATCTTTGAGCTGCTTTATCCTACTTTCATATTTGGACTAATCCACATATTTTATATGTGATTATTGCTTGTAAGTTGCTGGCATGATAAAAATATTAAGGTCATCTCTAAGTTGGTCGGAAGTTCACGGAAGTTCAGGTTAAATTACAAGTTTAGTTATTCAACTTTTAGGGTTGTGTTTTAATAAATCCCTTAATTTTAATAAATTAGCTGTCTCATAGGTACTTTTTAACTTTTATGTTGATGTCTAATATGTTCTTAATTTTCATCTATGCCCCGATAAATTTTTAACATATCGGACATTTTTTTTAATTTATGTATACTAGACATAAGATTGAATTTTGTGTCTAATTAGATTCTTTTAATTCTCTATTTATGAATTTTAAAAACCGTCAAAGTAAACTAACACCAAATTTGAACTTCAAGAATCTATCACACAAAATCATTTAAATTGTGATTAACCTTGTAATTTAACTTGATATTAATTATAATATATTGTTGTGTGGATTTTCCGAATAAAAAGTCTAACATGTTGGTCAAGTTGTTTGGTTGATTACCAATTTTCATTCTGTCTGATCTATAAATTTTAGTGACCATACAGATTATATGTATACTTTTTAAAGATTTCAGTTTTTAACTGGAGTATGGAGCTAATTTGAGCATAATTTAAAAGGCATATATCTTTCAAATTTTTACTCGTGAACTAAAAAAACATCTATATTATCATGCATAATTTAGTTTATACCATAGGGAGTGATTATTGATTATAAAGTATTAAAATCTCAACCACAATATCCAATTTGATATTTTATCACAATATTAATGAGATTGGAGATATACGTCAATTATTGTCGAGCTATAGTCGCTTTAGCTCATGTGAACTCGATTATATTCTTGGAATCATAAAATTATTATATTAAACTAGTTGAAACATGATTAACTAATTACTGATTAAATTAATACATTAAATCAACTCAAAAAGAAAAGTAAATGCATGAAACATACCCAACACGATCATAGCACATCTATTTAAATTTAAAAAGTTCCAAATAGATCGACACAAGAAATGCATGAAACTCATACGAAATGCATCTAACAAGTGTTTTAAAAAATAAATTTAACTATCATGAATTAAACATCTAAAACGGCAAATGATTGAAGATATTGAATATCAACCTCAAGATCTCAAATTTGTGTTTGGAATTAAAATTATAAAAATTTGAAGTTAAAATTATAAATCTTATCCGTATAGTTTAGACCAAGGTTTTAAATGTTGATGTCGATAGAAATGTCGAAGTCTCAATTTGATGAAAATAAATATTTCTATAAAAGTTATTGAAATTAAAAAATGGTAAAAAATATTTAAATTAACAAATAAATATTTTCATATTTCTAAATAAGTTAAAAAAATAACAAATATTGATATTAGGTATATATTAGTGATATTTTGTTGATATTTTTTATATTTTGTCAATTTTTTTGTACTACGATGGAAATGTCAACTTATCCCTCATGTCGATGTCGAATCCATGAAAATGTAGACATATTGATGGAAATTTCGACGTATCAATGAATATTTAGAACCATGGTTTAAACAAACTTTTAATTAAGTTGCGGTTCTTAAACCTTTTAATTTTAATTTTTAATTTCATCCTTATAATTTTACGATTTCATCACACTTCACAAATCATTAATAACTTATCCCGAAAAACCAACCTATTTTCTTTACCTTAATACAATTAGCCAAATAACATCATTTCATTACAACATATAAGAAAAGAAGAAAAAAAATACAATGTAGTAACAATACCGATAAGAATCATTCATGAAATTTAACTAAATTAAAACTTTTTAAATTATAAGAATTAACTTAAAATCTAATTTGAACCATAACAACTAAAATGAATCTTTAAAACTATAGAGACAAAATTAAAACTATGTCCAGATCATAATTTAACTATTTTCTTTATTCTGACGTATTACATAAACTCAAACCTTATAATATGATGGAATGAGAATTAGAATGAGAAGTTCCAACCTTTACTCTCATAATGTTGGCGGTAAGTACAAGAAGGCCCTGCAGCTATTAACTATAAAAAGTTCTGAAATGAAATTACAAAAGAAGAGAGAGATAACACGTTAGCCACCAATTAGGCAGTTAGTCTATAATCTCTGGTGGATATTTGAATTGAGAGTGCAATTGCAGAGAGATAGATCCGCAACAACGTGTTGTATTTGGTAGCCTAGCAAGTTTCTAAACCACCACAGCTACTACAAATCATCAATGTTTCTCGAGATTGGATTTCGAAACTCGATTGAGTCACCTGGAATGGATGCAGCTTACAACTTTGAAACTCACCGAAAGGATTAGAACCCAGAACAAGATGAAGAAGTGCAAGAAGTAGCGCGACATCAGGGGTTCCGACTTGCTCGAATGTACACCAGGAGTTGGCAACAATGGGGAGGTCTCGGTGTCGCATTCGGTGATCCCGAACAAATAGATGAAGTTGAGATCTGTGTTCTTGCCGTACAAGTTGTTCACTTCGTCTCCACTTAATGTCGTGTTTCTTATGACAATCATGCCAGCAGTGACGCGAACAGAACTCGAAGCTTGTGGAGCTGAGTTGAGCCGGATAGCGGCATCTTTTGAAGTAAACTGTGAAGCAAATGGAGTAGGAATGCTTCCCAGCATATGACTTGTATGTTTGATGAATGGGTACTTAATATCTGGTACCAAAAGAGAAATATGTTTAAAAAGAGTGAACCAAGAACCTTGCAAATATCTGAATGGAAAGTTTAGCATACCTGGCTCTGCTTTCTGGTCCTCGGGTCTTTGCACTGAAGAGGAGGAGGAGGCCTCGTTGTCATAACGTAAATCGGCAGTATGTTTGCTGGCAGATACATGTTCAGTAGCACCAACCGCAACCTAATGAAATATGATGCATCCATCAGTTAAAAATTCGAAATCACAAGACAATAAAATAAGTTGTGAGATGGAGAAATCTTGACCTCTGAAAGAACTGCTTGATCAGGAACAGGACTCTCAGTTCCGAGAATTTCAGAAGGATCAAAAGACATATCTGTGTTATCACCATCTGCGTCGAAGAATGTAAGATATTCTTCAAGCACATCAAAAGCAGCAGGATCACTTTCAGTAGGGTTTGAGAGTTCATTGGATTCCAAAAGTAGTTCATCACTAAAAGAAAGATTATCAGAAGTACTAAAGAATTCGTCGTTCAGCAAGTAATGAACATCCACATCACCAGCATCAACGACATCATCTGCAACGTTAGCATCGGCATCATTACTTGGCTCAGCACGATACTCATGTTTGACCAATCTCTCATGTAACCCACACTCATCTGGTAAAACAAAGAGCTTCTGTCCATCAGGAAGCTCTGATGTCTCACATATGCCTACTACAGGCTTCTGATCATCTTCAATGATATTGTCAGATTGCTCATTAGAGTTGCTAGTCTCACCATAATAGAAGTTAAATGGAGGTGGTGGAGCACTTTCAGATGGAATCCCTTCATCAATATTCTGGAGAAAGAATTTAACAAGATCTTGATATTGCTCACGAACTGATTAAAAAGTCAACAAAATTTATCAAACAGGAAACAACCAACAACCCACTCCAATAAACATAAGGGTGGACAAATACTCGAGGAACATTGAGTAATGGGGTCCGCATCGTACAATATTTCTCTTTATTTACCAGTTTTGATGATGAAGTAAACTTGTATTGTATAGCATAATTTGGCAACAACAAAGTCAAATACTAAATTGAAATACTTATCATTCTTCTTAAATAAGAAAAAAAAAAATATATATATATATATATATATATTTTTATATCCGTGTGTCCGAACCAGCTTGTGCGCACCTCGACTATTTACAGGCCAACCGCCTGACCCTACTACATTTGGTTGACAAGGAAACTCATAGGATATTAAATCCTAGGTAGGTGGCCACCATGGTTTGAACTCATTCCCTCTAAGTCCTTTGCTATTTACATGGGCTCTCATTGACCACTTGAGTCATTCCATGATGGTTAATAAGAAAATATATTTCTTAAGATATGCTTTTATTAGAAAGTTCCAAACCAGGTAAATTCCAAAAGAACAGCTGCCACGTTTAATACATTCATGGTCCATCTCAATTTTATCATGCTTCTATAGAATTGTTTAAATATAYCAGTTCATTCTCGATTCTATTTGAGAACTTTTATGAAAGCCTTTAACTTGGAATCTAACTCTTTCACCCACTGGCCCACTATCTTTACTTTGTCCCATCTATATGCCCTATAATTAGACCCTCCACTTATCAATCCCCACAAATCCGTCTAGTTTCTGACTACTTTCTTCCTTCTAATAGCTTTTACTATACTAAGACATCAAATGCACCTATTTTGTGCAAAACTGCAATCACATAACGGGCTAGACTATGCAAACTCAACTTGTGAGCCAAATGCTCGCCAATTTCAATCCTAAATCAACGTGCAACTGGTTTCAACTTTCAACTCTGGGTTTAGGTAGTGTCTTCCTTGGTCAGAAAAATGGTGTTTTGCTTTGACCTGTAGAGATTGTAGAAGTTTATCCTCTATTCTTCTCTGGTTTTGGGGTATTTTCTAGTCTTAATGAATTGTTCAATGATCGTGTTTCATAATTCATCCTTGACCATACTCTATTCACTCAACACTTAGCATATATTTAACTGCCTCAACCAATTGCTTAAATATCATATTTTATGAAAAAACCAACTTTTAGAAGAAAGGAAAGAATACACTAAGGACAACACAGAAATTGCTTGACTATCATAATATTCAAGTTTCTTTCGAATCTTAGGCAGCTCTCAGACAGATCTGCCCATACTCCCCTTGCTTCAACACCTTTTATATCATATTTCAGAAACACCACACCAGACACTTCTGATTTACTGTAAAAGCATTTCACCTGAAGAGGCAATTTACTTACAAGTTACAACATGGTAAAGTACATACCTCACTGAAGTCATCGCCATCAACATAAACGCCTCCACCAACAATCAACTCATCAGCCACTTGATCATCACCATCAGGCATCAGAGCCCCAGGTACCAGAGCCAGCTCTTCATTTTCTTCCCATTCCTCCTCAATAAAAGGGGCACCATACTGTTCTCCATTTTTTGGTCCGGAACCACTCTTCTGGAATATCCTACATAGCACAAATGCATCCTTCCAACCCAACAAAGCAACCAACAGATCCCAAAACAATTACAACGACATTTTCCAAATAATAAGTAAGATCATAAATCAGAGACAGAGAGAGGGAGAGGTAAAACTTTCGCCCTAATCCAACCTGCATAATTGCAATTTTTCCCATTTCCTCGTCAGTGAGTTTGTACTCGTGCATCACCCAATTGGTGCGAGCACCACGCGGTGCCCGCCCAATATGATACACGAGAGTCTTCTTCATTCCAACAGTCCTCATGTTATGGCGGACCGGCCGGTCCTTCCCCGTCGTCTTCCAGTACCCTTTCTCCGTAGCCCTATTGGTCCTCGAACTATTGCCATATTTCTTATCCAAAGCACTGAAGAAGTACCACTCCAAATCTCTGCTCTTCAGCTTCGACTTCCCTGACAAATCCCACAACACAAGTTCAATTCTACGCGTAGGGAAGCAGGAGAAGTAAAATTAAGAACAAAATCAAACACAAATCACAAGAATAGAAGTGGGGTTTGACCAGGGAGATCCCAGGGTTCGGCTTTGTAGATGTCTATGACGGAAATTGGGTCAAAACGAAAGGGTTTTCCACAAACTTTGCGCTTAAGATAGTAACTGACGAGCTCTTCATCTGTCGGGTGGAATCGGAACCCCGGTGCCAGCGAGGTAGCAGAATCTCGTCCCATGAAGCCGAATAGATTTAGGGTTTTGATTTTGGAATGAAACTGAAATTCAGATTTGGGATTAGAATCGAATACGGGGGAGAGAAATTGAAGTTCAGAAATTTAGGGTTACGATTTGTTCGGAAAATGAAATAAAATATTCTCGTAACGAGCTGGAAAGGGAAGAGATACACAGAGAAATGTCCGGGAAAAGTTCGGGGGAATGCTAGAGTCACATGTATCGACAAATAAGAGTGTCACAGCGCCTACGTGTCCACACGAGATTTTTTCGATAGTTGGATCGACGTGCGCTACAATGCCGGTGATGGTGACGGATTGTCAAATCAACTATTAATAAAATTCTTGCTGATGTGGCTTGGATCAACTTTAGTTACTTTTCCTAACATCTGCTAAATAAAAAAGTGTTCTTAAAAAAAAAAAAAGAAAAAAAAAGGTATCTAATAAGAATCAACTTTAAATCCTTTCACTTTATTTTATGGCTTTTCTAATTCTGTGAACTGCTTTTTTAACATTCATGGAACTTACAAGATATTTATTAGAAATTTCCAAACATGTACAAAATTTTTAAAAATTATAATGTTTTATTTTCGCCTTTTAAATTAAAGTAAAAGTTTAAATATTATTTTGGTTTATATATCTTCGATTTTTGTTCATTTATTTCTATGTACTTTTAAAAATTCATTTACTCTTGAAACGTCTATTATCTTTAAAAAGTAATTATTTTAATTAGTTATTTTAATTTTTATTTCATTTCTTTTCATCATAATTTTAGCATGACAAACCACTCACTAAATTTGTGTTAAAATGCTTTCATTGTTTATAAAATGTATGTTGAAATTTTAAAAATAAAAATCAAATTGATCACTTTTTTAGAGTACAAAGATTAAAACAAACCTTTTAAAAGTATAAGACTAAAATGAATAAAAGTTGAAAATACAAAAATATAATAAAAATAAACCAAAATAAAAAATATATTACCAAAATAATCACATGGTCATGTGATGACCACATTTTTTGTGTTTTGCAATACTAAATGTTGTAGGGTCAGTCTCAACACCAAATGTTGTAGGGTCAGATGGTTATTCCATCAGATTAATCGAAGTGCGTGTTAAGCTGGTCTGGATATTCACGGTTATAAAATATATATATATATATATATATATACATATATATATATATATACATACATAAAATAAACTAATTTTTTTATTACTATAAAAGTACAAATGTCGAGTCAGCTACCTCCCCGTGCTAACCTTAACTGGACCACCTAACTTTACCCATTTATGGATTAAAGCGTTTTATATTGATGTGAAGTGAAAAAATTTGAGTGTGATATTAAAAAAAACACTTGACATGTTAGACAAAATATTAATGATATTAATATAATTACTTATCATGATAACTTTTAGAAAACATCCACTCATCATGATCTTTCAGAATCTTTGAAAAACTTCCTTAAAGTAGACTCTGATCCAATCTTTGAACTAAAGCAAATGAAAACTGAAAATCTATGTTGCTTCCTGCTTAAGAATATGTAACAATCAACCCCAAAAACCCAATAAATATGCATGAAATTACAGGTAAATTTGAAGGAATAAATAACCAAAAAAGAGAAAAAAAAATGAATGTACTGTAAGTGGGGATGAGATTAATAGTTATGAGCTGACAACATTATTTCATGAAATGCCACCAGCTGAGAAATTGAAGTTATCACATCAGTGGTCTTTAGCCATAGCACAACATGAAGTTCAACATGGGTTTCATAACAGAGGTTGAAGTTCTGACAAAATTTAAAAGACGACACTAATTTGATACTCTTACAATGGATAGCTTAGTTGCTTAGACAACTGAACTAGTTACATTAGCTAGTAGAACGGCCTGGGTTCATATGCCGATAGAGTACAAGAGACCAAAATGGCAGCAACAATTTACAGGGCATGGCCATTTGCTGTCGACGTTTTTCTTCATATCGTTATGGTCTTCTTATTCAGCATGATGATAATCCAGGATTGAAGGGTACTACTAATCATGATTTGACTTCAAATCGTTGATCTCCTTATTGAGCACGACGATCCGGGATTGAAGGATACTAATCATGGCCCGAGCACTCAACAGCTCGAACTTCAATGTCTCCCTCTCCATGGAAGTCTTATGGATCTCATTTTGCAAATCTTGGATGAACTTCAGGATGCTTGGATGCACAGATGAACTAAGATCTGAAGTTTCTAATGCAGGTGGGGGAGCGGGAGCATCCTTTGGTTCTGTAGATTCTAATAGTGAATATTCCACCAAGGCTGAAAGAAAGTTTTTCGTAGTTGGGGTCGACACACTTGTCGTTGTTCCATCCGTTTGTGATCCAATGGCAGTTTCGGATAAACTGGGCTCTTCATTTGACATGGTTGAATTCTCTGAAGCCTTTGAAAGTTCGGATACTAGGTCACTCTGCCTTCTTCGTTTATACTTCATTAGCGGGAATGGTTTAGGATTAGCAATAATAGACGGTGGAGTATAATCCTCCAACTTCTCACTCTTGCACATAAACAAGAAATTGTGAGAGTTTCTTGGGGGATCATTTGAAATAACAGGTTCTTTATTGATGAACTTGGTTTTTTCCTGGGCAATAAAAAAAACCAAAGGTAACTTCTTATGGATAAGAAACCAAAAATGAAGGCAACTGTCAGTAATGTCAAGATAGACTTCGAGGAATTTTTCATCATGAAGTCGATGATAAAAATCACATGAATAAACACCCAGACTTAACACAGTCATAAGCATCTGGAAAAAAACCCAGAAAACAAGCCAAATTGCACCTTAAAAGGATAAGCAAACAATATTGATGCATCCCATTGCACAATAGTTCTATAAGTGAGAGTTAAATTTCCCAAAGCATGTCTGTCATTGAGGATTTTCCTTCCAGAACTTATATTTGTTGGATAATGAGTCAATGATCAACCTCCAAAAATTTTATCCAACAGTTCGTCGCCGTAAAAAATTTCATCACAGTTTGCAACTAAAATGATTAATCACTTCTGAATTCCAAACAGTGTCTGTATAAGTATCATGACATTAAGTCAAGAAGAAAATTTTAGTTAAATATAGGCTCATTTTCTCCCTTTGATTGCATTTTTTTTTTTTCCAAATGATTGCTTTAGAGATTTTTATACTCTTCATGAGCAGGAATAGTCATGGCACCTTCCTATGAGATATAGATGAAATGGAGTCGAACCCCATAGGGTACCAACCTTTTCAATGGAACTAAGGAAATATATGAAGCTTTAAAGCTTGAAAACAGAAGCAAATCTTCTTCATAAATACATACATTATGAAGTTTTTTACTGGAATTTGTGGAAATAACTTCAACTTAACTCTCTGCCATTCAATTATTCAGCAAGTATGGCTTGAAACTCTTGACTGGAATTCGGTGGAAGGATTAGGGTAGTGTGTATTCTCCCTGGAGTGTAAATTCTCAAAGTCCTGCCTCTTTCAAAGACCCTTAGACCCCTACTCCTTTAAACTTGGCAGAAGTAACAGAATAAGGTGATCTCCATTTAGCCCCTAGATTGTACACCATTTCCCACTCACGACATTTAGCCATATGGTCTCAACAGTCAAGTCTCAGGTTCTTTTTTCCTTTTTTTTCCCCTGAAAACGTACCAAGCTTTCATTGAGATAAAAAGTGGAAGAAGAGAATATAACTGTGGTACTGTGGTCATGTGGAAACTCAGGAGAGGGGTTCTGTACTCCTAGGCTGATGTCAAGTGCTCATGAGGTTAAAAGGATAGTAGATGGTCGCCTCTTGATGCTTTCGACTCCTTTTTTTTTTCTTTCTTTCCTTTTTAAAAGATAAGAAACCAACCAAATTCATAGATGATATGAAATTACAAAAGTAGACAAGGAAAGCCAAACCCAAAGCCAAAGGAGATTAAAGAAAAACTCTTCCACTTAGAACAACTATAGTTGTTGAAAGGTGAACATAGTTTACACCAAGAGAGAGCCAAAACAGAGATGATATCCAACTGTTAATCCTCTCAAGTCAAAAGTTCCAAAAAAATGCTCTAATCAATTTAAGCCAAAGGATCTTTTTTTTCTGGTTGAACAGATGAACAATCATGACGTAATAATGAAAACTATTCATGTTAATATGGAGGACCACATACCAGTTAAAGGAGGAGAATATGAAGGTCCAGAATCTATTTGCAAAGGAGTAACCAAGGAAAATGTGGCCTTGCAATCTGCCTCTACCCTGCACAAGATACACCAACTCGAGGAAAGCACAAGAGATGGGTGCCTCCTTTGTACCGATGTTCCAACTTCCCATAGAAAAGTTTTACTCTTTTAATGCTTCTATATACAGGGGAGTATGGAAATTCATCCCTGCTTGCTAAAACTTTGGGCTTCGTTCTTGTGCACCTTTTTTCGGGCAGGTTGTATCAGAGGCTGTAAGCCATGACCTACCTAATCTCTTACCTTGTTTGGAATTCCCAAATCATGGAGAAGATTGGGCTTCTGCCCTTGGCAAATTAAACACCAAAAAAGATCCAGATAAGGCATCAAGTCATGTATCTTACAGTGCTTTTGTTCCTTACTCTACTGGTATGAGGAACTTTTTGGGGAGGCTATAGGTCACTTCTAAGTAATCTTGGGAACTCCTTACCTGGGTGAGACGTTGTTCTCTGGCCAAAGCTTAAGAAAAATGTCAAAATAATCTGGTGAATTTAGTTTTCTACTTTTCTTATATGATTTTAAATTTGAGAAGTAAACAAAATATCTAGAAGATAAGAGTTAGAGGGGGTGCGGGACAACCTAAGTCTTAAGGTTTCTTTAATGCCATCAAATATCAAGGAATTCTTGTAAATATCTCACGCTTCTGTTTTTGACTAGATATCAAGCATTTTCACAATCTCCCTAAGTTACTTGATCGGGCTTGAACTGTCCTTTTCCCCTCTAGCTACCTTTCGTTGAAAGTTAATAGTTTCTAATCCCCCTCCCGGCTCCCCTACACATTCAGTGCAGTGAAATTAAGTGTTTACTATGGCAATAACAATTAACATTTTATAATTGACCTTTATTAGTGAACATTGATAATGCACCTATATAAACTGAATCCACATAGCAAATAAAGAATCCTTATATTTAAGCATGTTAGAAACATCCTTGACTTTTAAATATTTAATTTTTAAGAACAAGTTAACTTGCTGCATCATAGGAAACAAATCTAGATTTTAAGAAATGTGATAGATATTTTATATCAAGGAAACGACTACCAGATTTATTATTTAAAAAAAAAAAAGAACAACAGTACTGCTTATTCTTTTTGTGGGATTTTTTTATTTTAAAAAGAAAAAACACTGCCAATCGGGCTATATGATTTTCTGGCTACCAATCTATTTATGTTTACAAGCATGTTATATGATGTGTCTGAACTCTGAACAACTCATTTATTCATATCATATTCAGAAAGAAAGTTCAGTAGTTCATTCCGAAGGTAGTTTCTAACTACATAAAGAGGAACACAAACCTGCATGCTATCCTTTCCTTCGCGGCATGCTCCATTATTATTACCCTCAGCAGTGCACACACTATTGCTGTTTCTTTCGGATTGTGCATCATGACTAGCTACTACACCGTCTGCAATCTCTTCTCCAGGAATCAAAACTGATCCAGCATCATCCCATTCCTCCTCAATAAAAGGTGCATATCGGTGCCCATTTGGAGGCCCTATATTACTTTTGTGGAATACTCTGCACAAAACATATGCATCCTTCTCCAAAGGAGAGGACAGAGGAGACAGAGAACATTTGTAAGAAGCTAAACTCCACATAAAATTTGAAACACTACGGTTGCTGAAACAAGTGCATAAAAAAGGAATACCAAAGCTTAAAATTGTCACTCAAACTCTAAACTTCACCTAAACATATTTCACAAACATCAGAATCCGTACATTCGTTTGCTTTTCTAAACCACAGCACAGCCGCCAAAAGAACACAAAATGCACTGCCGTGGCAGATTTTCATGATGAGCTCACCTGCGAGCTTCCTGTTCCCGCTCCAGCTTTCTCCAGTTCTTCATCTACAAGTCTATATTCATGCATGACCCAATTGGTCCGCTTTCCATCTGGTGCTCTACCACTATGGAAAACTAGTGTTTTCTTTAAGCCCACAGTCCTAGAGTCATGGCGGACTGGTCGATCATTGCCAGTGGCTTTCCAGTACCCTTGGCTTGTAGCCCTATTCATCCTAGCCCCATTTCCATATTTCTTGTCCAACACACTAAAAAAATAGTACTCTTGGTCCCTGCTCTTCAACCTTGACTTTCCTAAATATAAGCAAAAAAAAAAAAAAACAAATCTAGAAATTAAATACATGATCCAGAAACTCATTAAAGAAACCTGCAGCCACAGATTGACCATCAGAGCTTTAAAAAATTAAAACCGAAGAGCAAGAAGGCTATTTAAAAAATGGGGCTGTTTGGGGGAAAAGAACTCTAATTAGTTAAAAAATCACAGTTGAAGGGGAAATATATGCGCCCATAGAAACCAAGTGACCATCAATCTACCAAATAACACGCCAATAGCCTATAAACAGAGAAAAATTTTAAGAATCAAACAAGACGAGGAAAAAGTTCCGAAGCATCTGAGTTACCCGCGAGGTCCCACGGCTCGCTCTTGTAGATGTCGACCTCCGAAATAGCATTGAAACGGAACGATTTGCCGCAGACCTTGCGCTTAAGGTAGTAAATAACGAGCTCTTCGTCGGTCGGATGGAACCTAAACCCTGGAGCCAGTGCTGTAGGTGCGGCGGCTGCGGCTGCGGCTGCTGCTGCAACGGGCTTCGTCGGAGCTGGAGGTGATGACAGAGTCAAGGTTTCGGAACCCATTGGCGAAAATCCCAACTGGGTTTGCGAATTCGAAGGACGAGCTCTGGAAATGGAGGTTAGGGTTTCCAAAGGTTGAAGATAAGACTTTGATTGGTGCTGAAGAAACTACGTAAAGATACCTTCAATTACAAGGTATTCTTTTTCGGGGAAAGAGAAAACCAAGGCCCGTTTTGAATTAATTTATTTATTTACTTTTCTTTCCCCAATTTTTTTTTTATATATTTTTGGTAATTTAGTGTCTATTGATATACATATCTTCTTTGATCAAAAAAAAAAAAAGATATATATATCTTCATAACATCAATTGGTTATTTGATCCAATGGTTTATGGACCTCTCCACATTAATTTCTAGTGGATCATAAAGTTTTCCACCTTTTAAAAGTCGTTTGACATTGATTTTTAAGTTTTTTTTTTTTTTTGAAAGAAAGAAGAAATTTAATTAAAGGAAGAATATGTTATATAAGTTACAGATTAAAGAGTGTCACCTTTTACAAAATTCAACGGTTAAGATGGATAAACAAACTACCAAAAAACATAGCTGTTTGATGGATATTATATTGTATCAAAACATTTGCTGACTTGTTGCAATCTCGAGGGAGATGAAGAAAAAAATGGTGAAAACATTTAGGACTGTCCACTCAATATCAAATAACTAATTTTATTTACCTCAAAGATTGTTGTAGTTTATAATTTGAGTGAGACAAAGACCTTCAAGAATTGTGCATAATTCAGTCAATAAAGGCGAATTTTTTTTAATTAATTTAGATAAAAGTCTTAATAATCTAAAATGGAATATTTTCATTGTCGTAAAGAAAATAATGGCTATGATTTTAAAGTGAAATTAATAATTCTGTCCGAGAGTGATTTTGAAACAAACGCACATGGTATTTGCTTATTTTATTTTCTATTTATCCACATTTTGAAAAGATAATTATACTATTAATGCCATATTAAACAATATTTTGAATTTTAAAAATTAAGCTTAAAAATACTACTACACTTTTTAAAATCTAAGCTAAATTTTAAAAATTAAGGAAAGTAGTATTTAAAATCCTTTAAAACCTTGTTTATTGTTTTTCAAATTTGATTAAAAATTCAAATATGTTTTTAAATAATGTAAAAAAAAACATACCAATAAAATATATAAATTAATTTAATTTAAAAAATAAAATAGTTATTAGTTTTGTTTCTTCTTCTTTATCTCCTGGTAATGTGTCTCTAATTTTGTAATAATTTAGATGATATTTTGTGACAAACCTTCTTTGAACATGGAGTTATGCAGATAATTGATATGTTTTAACATTTTTTTTTTTGTTTTTTGTTTTACTCTCCTTAATATTTTGAAATGACAACTGCACATACGCATGCCCTCTCACAAATAATTAAATAGTAAGAAAATTTTGCATTTTATTATTTCAGGCGAAGAGTTATATTTAAATATCATTTATGTAATTTTTTTTTTAAGTTTCAAAATATCATTTATGGTTGATAAATCGTCAAGGATTATAATATTACGTAATTTGAAAGTTCACCGATATAATCATTTATTTGATTTTTAAACGAAGCTGACTACTGTCTAATAAATAACTTAAAGAAGAAAAAAAATATATATATTACAATTATAAACTTCCAATAAATTAATAAAAATATATAATAAATTATGTGAGCGCTTAAAAATATGGAAATAATAAAAACCTTTGGATTTATTATTTTAAAAGTTTGAGATAAAAAATAATATTTAGTTTATCCAGTGAATGCCCGAATGATGCCTCTAAAATAAACTACCCATTATGAAAATTTATTCAATCATTTAACTTAGCAATAAAAAATTCAAACCAACACAATTTGAATAAATGATTGGAAAATGACAAATCAATTGTGGAGTTTTTCTTACAAAATCTCTTTTTCTTATGGTGTGAAAATGATTACATCGTAAAGTCAAGTGCAATGATTTTTTTTTTTTATGTAAACAGTTTATATATTAAAAAAATCGTTGGATAACAATTATTGTTTTTTATATTATTTATTTGATTGTATTGTTTTGATTAATGTCTGTTTTTAATGTGCTTAGCTCATAAGAAAAAATTACTCAAGTTGAAGTAAAACAAAATTCAAGAAATAGGATAAGGTTTGATGATTTTTAAATTTTTAAAAATGCAGAATAGAATATAATGAAGAATGAATAGTTAGAAATTATCAAGGAGGAGAATATAGTTTGTTTTTTTTAGTTTAGAATAATATGAGTTGTGATTTATCTTTTAATTCTTTAACGCAAAGGAAAAATTTAGTACTATTGTGAGGAATGAAATAAAGCAAGATCGAGAGAACAAACCAAAACCAACAAGCAACAAGTTGGAGGGTCGGTCCACGACAGAAAGTCAATAAGTCCATGTACCAGTTTGGTCAGTTCTTGGCGAACCTACTCACGAACTAGTCCGATCAACTTGGACCGTGGCCCACAGTAAGTTGACCAAGTCGAGGCTCAGATAAAAGTGATGTAAAGATGCCTAGAATTTAAAGATTTTCTTGATAATCGACAAAGAAGCTATCAAATTCGTGACCTAAGAGTTAAGGAGTTCAAAAAAGAATAAGAGATATCCTGATAAGAGGAGGTTTTCTACTCTATAAATAAATGGTGAAACTTACAACTAAGGTATGTTAAAAAACTGGTTAAGACACTTATCTCTAAGGTCATGAGTTTGAATCTTCATCCTCATGTTGTATTAAAAAAAAGGCACGCTAAAAAATCCTACATGAACCTGTTACATCGACAACCTAAGTACTCTCAATTTTGTGTCTAAAAGGTCACTATCATATTTTAAAAATTTTAAAATTCACAATCTTAATGAGACATAAAATTGAAAGGTCATTACCAACATGATCATATAGCTCAGCGACAATTGACATGTACTCTTTCCCTTAAGGTTGGAGATCGATTCCTCGTAACTCCAATATTGTCTACCAGCGACATGAATTTAGATTTTTATACATAAGTTAAGGTTTAAATACTATTTTGGTCCTTATACTTTCATTTAGGTTCATTTTGTCTCTATATTTTCAATTTTTATTAATTTTAGTTTACATACTTTTCGTCCTTGTACTTTTAAAAAGTGATCATTTTGGTCCCTTCATTTTCATTTTTATCTCATTTAGTTCGATTAAAATTTTAACATGATATTTCACTTATTAAATGTTTTGAAATGTAACGATAAATTTGTATTACATGTTTCGATTGTGTATTCATTTTGTGTTAAACATTTTAAACAAACACTGAAATTGTCACTTTTTAAAAGTACACAAACTAAAATAAACCAAAGTTTAAAATACAGTGACCAAAATAAATATTTAGAATGTATAGAGATCAATGTTTGATCATGAAAATGATCAAGCTCGGATCCGCGAAGCTCGAATTGCGAGCAACGAAGTACAATGGACCTGCAAAATAGAGTCAACACTCCAACGCTCTAGTCAATACACAATCTTACCAATATTTGAGAGAGAATATATTTCGCGTACCTTTTATGAGAGGTAGGGTACTTTATCTATAGAAGCAAGCTCCCGAGAATCTTAGACAAGTTGTCTTGTAAGAGAACATGTCTACCACCTATACCCCTTCGTTTACTCTTTAATCTTGACTTGTACCTGTCATAGGTCGGCTGGAAATGTAGAATACAACATAGCTCGTCTTTGAATGCCGAGTCGAAGAATCTTAACTTCGTTGAGTTCACTTTAAGGAACTGTCTTGATCATCTTGATAGCCGTTGACTCTAGATGTTGATACGTGCTAGTCGATTAATTGCCTCCAACTATCAAAATTAACTAAAGTTAAAATTACAAATTCTAAAATAATATTTAAACCTAAAACTAATGAGAATATTAAAAACGAACACTTAAATTTTAGGAAAAAAAAGAAAGAGAAAAAGAAAGGATAGGAGAAGTGATGTTTGAGTATGGCGTACGTTATTAGTTACCGTTGGCACTTAACCTTTAAGGCAAGTCATCGTTCCCTTTAACCCCACCACCATTATTTAATCCACACTACTTTTTATTATTTATTTATTTATTTTATTAGTTTAAATCTTATTTTCATTCGAAAATTCGTATTCATGACTTTTTAATTAAAAATAGTTGTCTTTATCGACGAAGTTTGTTCTTAAAATTTGTTAACACAATATTTAAAGGTAGAAATGGAGGACGTCTGTGTCCATATTGGTGTCTTATTATCGATTTATTAATTTTAAAATACAAATTAAAATTAAAATAATTTTTTAGTTAGGATATATAAAATAGATATTTTGAAAGTTTAATATCCTAACAGAATAAACTTAGAAGTTGATTAACCAAAATAGAGATTTTGAAATTTTATAACCAAAATGGAATAATCTTGAGTTGTCAAATTTGCACCTATTTTATTTTATTTATCAGTTAAGCTTTAAGAAATCACTATACCTATATTTTTTCTAACCATTAAATATATATTCGTGGCATTGGTAAATATGACAAAAATATTTCGTAAAATTAACAAAATAGCAACTACATTTAATTTTTTTCCAAATATAACACTTAAAAAAATAATGGCGGTCCAATTTTAAAATGATAACTTTACCCAAATGAATGATATATATTGTAATATATTTGACTACTGATATATTTATGTGATATACATCTGATATACTACTAATACGAGTGTTTAATATAATTGCAATATGTATGTGATATACTACTGATACGAGTGTCTGTGTAATATGTATTTGATATACTACTAATATGAATGTTTGATATACTACTGATATGAGTACAAATTTGTGCTATATTTGAAAATTTTAAAAAATAGGTGACATATTTTGAAATATATAAAAGATTTTTGTTATCGTTGCAATTTTCTTGTATATTTTAGTTTGTAATGTCATCTTTTTTTTCTTTCAATTTTGATTCTTAATCTTTTAAGAATTTCAATTTTCGTTTCTTTTATCAAATTTTTAATTTAATTTTTATTCTCACAATAACATTAAAAAAATTTATGTTGTTGTGTCAAAATACAAATTGTTAGTTGAGTTTAAATAACTCATATTTTAAAAACTACTTATAATAATCAAAAATATGTCAATCTTAACATAATTTAGGACAGAACGTAATAATAAATTAGAATATCTGTGGGACGAAAATAAAAAATCTACTAATTTTAGTGAGAATAAAAATAGACATAAAATATTATTATAAATTATAATATCTCGATACTCTTTTTTCTTTTTCTTTTTTTAAAGAACGGTCAATTCATATTAAGTGAATAATATTAAGAACTTCTAAAAATCCTGAAATGTCAAAGAGCATTATTTTTCGCCTAAACAAATCACATATTGAAGAAAAATATTAACAAAAATTGGACTGATTTAATATTTCCCCTGGGATGCGTTCATATTAATTTTACGATATTAAATTATTAATTTCTTATAAAAGTGTTAAATGCGCTACACTAATTCTATAAAGTTGTACTAAAAAAATCTATAAAGTTAAAAAAAAAATCTATTTTTTTAATTTTTCTATATATTTGAAAGTTAAATTGCTTTCATTGGTCTTCCCCCTAACTTTTAGAAGTTGAGAAATTCCCTTTTTTAAAAAATAAATAAATAAGAAGCTGAATAATCGTTGATATGTGTTTGACTTTTTCCACCTATCCTGAATTTTCTTTAACATCACATTTAAAACATTTATTCTTTTGTTTATTTATTTATTTGACTTATATAATAATTACAAATTTGAAGAAAATTGAACTCTTCCAAATCAGAATATACAAAAAGTTAGTATAGATACCGTCTTTTTTAAGAAATTAAATTTATACTTATAGCGATCACAATTATACTAGATATTTCACCACACACAAAATTTGCAACAAAATATTTGGATTTACACATTTTAGCTAGAAGTATTAGTTAGCATTTCAGAGCAATATTTAGGTGTTTATATAATTTATCGGTTAACACCCACATTCGTGCTAACCACCAATAAAAAATTTGATAGTTATTTTATAACTTTTTTAAAAAATAAAAAAATATATATTTTGCTACATTTCTTCTTTTTATTTGTAAGGAAAAAAAATTTAATGGTGGTCAACAATTAAGCACCTTGGTATTTTTCAAGATTTTATAAACGTGTTTTTCTGGAGAGCCCCCACTATAAGTGGTCCTTAATAATATTTTGTATTTTATTTAACATTTATTTTTTCCATGAAAAGTTGGAGATATGACCTAGAAAAACACAACTCTAAATATAATTTATATAAAATGTATATGTTTAAGCGTGTGTATGTATAAATAATAAAGTTATAAAAACATTATCAACCTACACATAGTTGAACTGCTTAAATAATTTATTTTCGATAAAAAAGTCGTGGGTTCGAATTCCCATCTTTAAATGTTAATCTAAAAAAAAAGTCATACCTAACTTAACTAGTCACGATGCAATCTCGCAGTTTAATTTTCCTTTTCAAAAAATACTTGTAGCATGGACAAATCTTGTCATCTTGTCCTTGCTACTCTTATAACTTGGTAAGGACAAGATTTCTCGTTAGACATTTTACTTTCCTCAAATTGTTTCAAGTAAAAAGAATACTTACAAATACACACAAAATGACTCATATTTTAACAGCAGTGTTACTGTTGACTGAGTGATACCATCATAGTTCATGAAAGATTTATGTACCAAAAAAATAAGAGGTTTTCCTTGAAAACTCAGGTCATGATGCCATATGTCAAAATATGAGAGCTGATCATTTGGCAGACCAGCTTGCTTCAGCAAAGCTTTCCACTAAGAAAACTTTGTCCCTTTTCTTCCCCTCTTCCTCATTGCTCCACCACTGCCGCTGCCGGCTCTGTTAAATATTCAATCCTCTTCATTGTATTCCTCAATCTTTTTTGAAATTTCTCGATACCCATTCAACTTCCTTCTCCCCTTTTGTTGTTTTCTCCTCAAACTCTCTTGGAAAGCTCCTCCCATTTATTGACCCACATCGCAATTTCATCTATGCATTTTCCCTGTTTCCTCTCCATCTTCTGCTGGAAGAGGACAAAAAGAAGAAGCTTCTTCTTTTGCTCTTTCTTTTGCCACTGCCATGGCTTCTACTGGTTTCCACAGGCACCCTCTGGCTTATGCCCTTCTGATTGGGGTTTTTGCTTCCAGTGTCAGCGCCATCGACATCTTTCTTGAATGGAATGTGACATTGGACTTCACAATCAAACCTGTATCTCAGGAGCAGCCTGTAAGAATGTTCATTCATTCTCCTATATGGTTGATTTGATTGAGCTCTTCAACTTTTCTGTTCTTTGTTTCTGTTCTGATAATGTGGTGGATTTGATTTGTAGGTTATTGCCATTAATGGGTTGTTCCCTGGACCTCTGATTAATGCCACAACAAATGATTTTGTTCATGTGAATGTCTTCAACAACTTGGATGAGCCCCTGCTTTTTACCTGGTAGGGATGATAATTCATAAATTACCACTGAACCTGAAAGCTTAAATTGATGGATTACGTTAGATTTAATCTTTTATTCATATAATTAATACTTTCCTTTACTTCTGGGTTTGGAATTAGCACAAGATTGACAAGTGACTATTAGTATTAATTAAGAAGGAAGTTACATTACTGAAGTTTGAATGCAGAATCTTACTTTAAACTATCACTAGACTCAAAAGTCTAAGTTCACAAGTTACACTAGGTTTAATAAATAATCTATTGGTTTGCACAGGTAAACAAATTGCGAATGTGGTCCAAGTAATAAATGGCCAAGTTTCATTTGGGCCCAATTCCAATATGATCCACATGTCTCATTAGTCCATTAGTCCATGTTTGAAAGAAGACCTATACCTTTTATTCATATTCTTAACACTCTCCCTAATTTGTGAGTTTGGAAATTAGTACAAGACCCCATAATATTAATTGGGAAGGAAATGACATTATAGAGATTCAAACACAAGATCTCGTATTCCCTGATGCTATGTTAAATTACGAATAGACCCAAAAGCTTAATTTGATAGATTATATTAGATTTTCATTTGATCTTTTGTTCATATTCTTATGTTAGAGTAACTTTTGCTTGAAACTTTGAATTTTGGTATGTTTGCTTATGCTTTTTGGGGGGTTTGGTTGAGGCAGGAATGGGATACAACAAAGGCTAGACTCATGGCAAGATGGGGTCTCTGGAACAAACTGTCCAATTCTACCAGGTACAAACTGGACTTATGTGTTTCAGACCAAGGACCAAATTGGCAGCTTCTTCTACTTCCCATCAATCAACTTTCAGAAGATGGCTGGAGGATTTGGACCGATTCGTGTCAACAACCGTAATGTGATCGCCGTTCCCTTCCCAAAACCAGAAGCTGAGTTTGACCTCCTCATTGGTGATTGGTCTTTTGACAACTACAAGGTAACTGTAACGTTGGACTTGTTTCTTGAAGCATGTCTGGAATTATATTTCTTTTTGTTTTTTAACTCTGGATTTCTTGAGCTTAATGCATTGGGCTCTGCACGTAATTTGGATAGATAATCAGATCCCTGATGACCGATCCAATAATCGCATTCAACAGCATCCCGAACATAATGTTGATGAATGGAAAGCCACCATTTGGCCACCCTGATGGAAAAGCCTTTGAATCATTCACTGTCACACAAGGTAACCATTGTGTCACCAACATGAAACTTTTTAAAATTCCAAAATGCCAAAGTTCCTTGAACTTGAATGACATGCCTTGCAGGGAAGGTTTACAGGTTCAGGATATCGAACGTCGGGACAACTTTGAGTTTCAACTTCGGGATTCAGAACCATCAAATGTTGTTGGTTGAGACAGAAGGATCTTACACCAATCAGACCACGTTAGATTCACTTGATGTTCATGTGGGGCAATCCTATTCCGTTCTTGTCACTGCAAACCAGATCGATGCGGATTATTTCATCGTAGCATCTCCAAAATTGCTGAATGTCACAGAATTTGGCAGCCTCATCGGTGTGGGAGTGCTACACTATTCCAATTCTGCTGCGCAACCCATTAGCCCTTTACCAACTGGCCCCGACCCATTTGATCTCGACTTTTCAGTAAATCAAGCAAAATCCATCAGGTAAGTAAGGTCCTTAAGTTCTCATATACTTCATGAAAATAACATCTGGATCTGATTCTCCAAACCTTCTTGCACAGATGGAACATGACCACAGGAGCTGCAAGGCCAAATCCTCAAGGAACTTTCAATGTGACAAATGTGACATTATCACAAACTTTCATCCTTCAAAACTCAGTGGACGTAATTAAGGCATCGCCCCACGCTCTTGTCAACAACGTGTCCTACCTCACAATCGATACCCCGTTGAAGCTTGCCGATCACTTAGTCAACGGTTCTGGAGTGTACCAACTTGATGCATTTCCTGTTCAACCTGTCAATCTTAATGCTTCTTTTGGAACCTCTGTTGTCACTGGAAACCACAAAGGTTGGATAGAAATTGTCCTAAAAAACAACTTGGGCTTCATAGACTCTTGGCATCTAGATGGTTTTGGATTCTATGTCGTTGGGTAAGTATCACAGAAAGTCAGCAACCATCTTCAGATGGTTGCTTTTTGAAAACTGAAGTACTTGGAATTCTCATCCTTTCAACAAAACAATGCTGCATGAATTACAGGTTCGGAAATGGAGACTGGACACCGGAATTGCGCAACACGTACAACCTATTCGATCCAGTTGTGAGATCAACGGTGCAGGTGTATCCAGGAGGATGGAGTGCAGTTTTTGCTTTCCTAGACAACCCAGGGATGTGGAATTTGAGGTCACAACTCCTGAAAAACTGGTTTTTAGGCCAAGAACTTTACCTAAGAGTTCATGACAGTAATCCTAACCCGGCTAAGGAGCGGCCACCGCCTGCAAACCTCCTCCTTTGCGGTTTGTGCAACTTCCCACGCAGCCCATACTTTATGTTTCTGTTTATAACATATCATGTCTTGTTGTTGCCTAATGCCACAATCCTAGGAACATCATTCTCTGATTCAAAGATTCACACACATCTAACAATAAGTTGGCCTAACTTGAATCATGACATCCATCTAAAGTTTTTACAAGTGATCAACCTGGTATGTTTTGTTTGTTTACAGGGATTTTTAATCAATCATTTGTCCCGGTTAGTGTGCCACCTCCGCTCCGCCCGTGATTGTGTGATAGCGATTATGAAGACTTGATAAAGCTATTACTTTTGGTTTGATACTGTCTGATAAGACCTATAAGACCTGCAACAGGGGGAAAATCTTTATCTTTATGACTTTACTCACTTTGTCTGTGACATATATGCTGTAGAAGATGTGGCTTGTTTTGGTAATATTTTATTCTCACTGTGCCACTGGCAAAGTCACAATATTGATTCATTAATTTTCCTTTGCAAGCCTTTCATCTTTTAACACCTCCCATTTTTTTTCAATCTCAATAGTTAAAAATGGGCTAATATATGTTTTAGTCCCTATTGTTCGGGTGTTTTTTCAATTTAGCYATTTATGTTTTAACATTTTTCAATTACCTTTCTTTGTTGAATGTTAAAATTAGCTGGTGATAAGCTTACCTAACATATTACTTAGTAAGTTAGGTAGAAATTAGACGAGGAATTAGGCAAACTAAGAAGGAAAAAGTCAAAGTTTAGAAATTTGGGAGAGGATTTACAAACTTTTCTCTCTTAGCTGGCTCAATTCATTCTACAAATTTTATCAACTCATTGAATATCATGTTATGCAAGCTTACCATCAACCAATTTTATTTTAACATTCACTGTCAGAATGTAAGATTGAAAAATGTTAAAACGTAGGAGACTAAATTGAATCCTTTTAAAAAATAAAAACTAAACTGGAAAAACAACGGAAGACAATGAATTAATACATACATTTAGCCTTAAAAATGCATCAAGTAAGAAAATTATAAAAAAAAGTAGAAAAAGAAAAAGAACATGATTGAGGAAACTTATGACTAATTTTAGCCCTAATCAGGTAGTTGAGTTCAACAAAAACAAACCCATATGATCAAAATCATGATTAGAAAAAAGGGAAAACCCAACAACAACCTCATGGTTTTGACCACACACTTTGAAAACCTCCAAACTACCCTATAGCCTTAGAAGCTGGGGTTTGTGATTTAGGCCATAAGATTTGACTTGTCTCCTCAACTTAGTAAACAAATCACAAATCCTCCAATAGCCAACCTTTCAACTTCCCCGGGGCACGCCTGCCTGTGACGTCGACATAAGCCTTATCTTACTCGAGAAGAGAGATGGTCGGTTGTGTTTTAGGCACAATGGAGGGAAAAGAGGAGATTAAAACGAGAGAATTAGTTAAGGCAACTGATTGAATAAAGAAAGAGTTGTAAGAAGCAAGATGATTGGATATTGGATGAGGTTATCAGAATGGTGATGGTTTGAGAAGGCAAGCCACTGGACCATATTAAATGTGTTTTGGCTGTAAAGTACAAAAATAAATAATCAACATCTTTCTTAGGTGTGTGTTGAGTGGGGTAGTAAGTAACTAACAGAAGAGTGGACCAAAGGAAAGAAAAGAACAAAACTTGGGTAATGGGTCAGCATTATTTTTAAATGTATTTTGCTGGTTTGGAGAGGAAAAAGAAAAAAAGAAAAGAAAAGACAGAAGGTGGATTCATGTGCAAATTGCAGTTGGCTTTCTGTACTTGCTGTTCTATTCTTGTCACCAATCTAATAGAGAGAGAGAGAGAGAGGGATGGTATTTCTTGTCAATGAAAGAAGGCAACCAAAAACATGAGTTTTGGTGATAGGGATGACAAGGCCAAGCCAAACATCCATCTCTCTCTGTCTCTCTCTGTCTCTCTCTCTCTCTCTCTCTCTCTCTCTCTCTCTCTCTCTCTCTCTCTCTTTCTATAAGTGATTATCCCATTTACTCCAACTGAAAGAAGAGCAAAACAGAGAAAAGGGGGAGGAAAAAAGATGCTCATCATGCAAGTTTCATGAACAAAAAGCTTAAGAGACAATGCTAACAAAGTGTTTCAGAAAAAGAATTTCATTAATTCCATTATAACATTTTTGTTTATAATCAAAGGTTGGAGAAAAGAAAGGAAAAATAAAAAATTGAAAGAATTTGATGACATTGAATGGTAAATTTTCCAAAGAAAAGGGGAAAATAAAGGGAAAAAAAAGAAAAAGAAAAAGAGAAGATGGCTTCACATAATCACATCAAGTTGATCAATAAGAATGGTGGGAAAATAAAATCTTTTAGGGGGAAAAATTTTCAGAATTTCTTATCCATCCTTAGTAATGACAGTCAACCAAAGGCCTGGTGGAAAAAACAAGTGGCTGCTGCTGCTGTTGTTGCTGTTTATTATTATTATGCTGTTGCTGGTGCTGTTGTTGCTGTTGTTGCTGGTGGTGGTTTGACTTTATCATGAACTTGGATTCCCTATGATCATGTTCTTGAGGAGCAGGAAGATTGAGATCCAAATCCAAAGAAAGCACACTTCTTTGCCTCTTTGGTTGTCTTTGATCCTCAGGTTCGATGGGCATTGGAGTCAGAGACAGAGCGGTGTTTGTCCCGACGGGCATGGCGCGGTGGCGCCTCATGTGGCCTCCCAAGGCCTGCCCAGATGTGAATTCAGCCCCACAGATTGCACACTCATGAACCTTAGCCTTCCCACTGCTGTACAAATTACCCCTCTGGCTCAATTGCAGAGAGAGCGGATGTGTGATGTTATTGCTGTTCTTGAATTGCATCTCCTCATCATCAGAAGACAAAAACAGCTTCTTTTCAGCTTCCATGGCCTTAGGCTTCTTGTGGCTCGCCCTGTGCCCTCCCAGCGCTTGAAACGACGGGAACGTCCTATAACACGTCTTGCACTCGTAACCATAGCACCCTCCCGCGGCAGCCGCAGCGCCCTTGTCGGTCCCAACCACGCCTGCATTCTCCGCAAACCTCCGGTTGCTAACAAACGATCCGGCGACACGCTTCGGGGAGCAAAGGGATCTCCCTTGAGCAAGGAGAATGAGGCAATTGGCCATGTCCTCCTCTTCTTCCTCAGTAGAGTTGTATTGGAATTGATCAGCAGCAGCAACAGCAGCAGCAGAGGAGGAGGCAGTTGCAGGGGAAGAATTGGGATTCTGAGCCACACCCACATAATTATTTTCTGCCACAAAGTTGTTGGAGTCCTCAGAATTGGCTGAAACAGCAAAAGGGATTGGAGAATGAAGCCTCTGGCGCTTAGTTCTCTTGCCTTTGGCTATCCCTTGCTGCTCTTTTGCATCTTGATTAACAACTTCCATTCTTCTCCTTCTCCCCTCTTCCTCTTCCACCCCCAAAAAACCCCTTTTGCAGAGAGAGAGAGATTGATGGGTGGGAAGGAAGAAATGGGCCAACACAGTATATATGTATATATAGATACAAATTTAGACAGAAACAGAAACAGAGAGAGAGAGAGAGATGATGATGTAATGTTTGTTAAGGAGTCATCAATGGAACAGTAAAGTGCTGAATGATTCTGGTTTATGGAAGGGTGAGATGAGAAGTTAGATATATTTATACATATATTTATAGATATGGTAAAAGGGGGAGGAGTAAAATAGAGGGGACAGAAGGAAAGACACAGAGAGCCATAAAGTAAAACTAAAAACAAACAATTGGTGTAACAGAAAGAGGGCAAATTTAGGGAGGGTGAAGGGGGCAGTGTTGCAGAATATTGATTGATGGAGGAACACACCAAAGTTTGTTACTTTTTTTTTTGGGACTCACACTTTGCCAACCCACTTTAACAGAGAGATGGAGGCATTGAGAGAGGAGAAGAGGAAGAGAGACAAAAACTAATGGTAATTTCAGGGCCTGTCTAAAAAAAGGCAATGATTTTCAACTTCAGTAGCTTGTTTTGTTTGGCAAAATTGAAAGCTAAATTCATGGTTAAGAAAGAATCGCCTCAAATGGTGGATTAAGAGAGAGAGAGAGAGAGAAAGAGAGATTTTGAAGTCCAAAAACGATGGAGTTTTTGCTCTACTCCACCACGTCTTGTTCAAGAAAATACCACTCTGCCAAAAAAATATGTGAAGACAATTTTCGGACAGATCACCAACCATTTAAATTCTATTTTGGTTTATGGATTTTGGAAACAATCATATTTTGGTGCTTATCGTAATTAAAAAAAAAATTGATAATTAAGAGAGAGGAACGGTTCGAAAAAAGGAAGAAGATAGAATAAATGGTAAGTAGGAAGGTACTTATTTGTTACGGATAAATACCTAAATATTATTCTTTTTAAAATGTCTATTTTAGTATTGAATTTTTAGAAAATAGGTATCTTTTATTCCAACATCAATGTCTATTTTAATTTTGAAGTTAGTCTTTACTATTATAATATATCACGTAATATTCATTTACTGGATATTGGCCCTTACCTATATATGTGGCACTAATTGATGCTCACTTTGTAAAAATTTCTTGTATTTCTCACCTTGTGAATTTCCCTTCTTAAATAATTTTGAGTCCGTTTGACCTTTAATCTTCCTAGAAAATACTGGTGTGACTGACCGTGAATAGGAGTAGTATTAATTTTTTAGTTCAATAATTAGAGGAATGATAGGTTAAACTTTTAAACTCTATATTATCCACTAATATATATACCTGAATTGATCGGAGTATTCATGGTACAAAAAAATTTCACCCAAATATTTGCTTGTTAACACATACTTAAAACTACTTTTATATTCATGTGAACTTTAAAAGTAAAATTAAGGTCGGCACCAAAAATAGTTATTTATTTTAGTATTTGAACACGGACTTGATTTTGGTTCATTTGGGTCCATCTACTTTTAAAAAGTAACCAATTTAGTATATATCTGCAAAATTTCAACACAAAATTTATACCAAACAAAAATTTTTAATTATATTTCAAGAAATTTAATGAGTAGAGCGTGGTCCTATAAATTATGATAGAAAGAAATAAGAGCAAAATAGTCAATTTTAAAAATACAAAGACCAAAACGAATAACGTTTTGAAAGTTGGAAGTACATTAATTGAAATAGACGTTTTGAAAGCGTTTGTATCGAAACGAACCGAAACCGAAAACCCGAGACGAAAATAATATTTAAAGGTTGAATAAGAGAGAGGAGAGGAGAGGAGAGGAGAGAAGAGGAGGGAGGAAGCAAAAGGGCATTACTTTTGCTCAACGATTGTGCATGAGATGATTGGAGTGCAAGCCTGGAACCACGGAATCTGCGGTGCACCCACCACTACTTCTTCTACTCTCTCTTAAATATTTATTTTCCCCTTTTCTTCAATTTCTCTTCATACAAACTTCTTCAAATCTTTTTTCGTTCACAAAAAAAAAAAAGAGAAAAAATAAATAAAGAAGAAGAAAACTTTGCCCACAATAAAACAACTGTTTCTCACATGCCATATCCCATAACTTGGGAGTTGCCAAATGCCAGTGTGTTCATCTTTCATCGAAGTTTCAATTTTTTTCTCTTTTTTTTTTTGGCTCTATGATTGAGAGCTGAGATGGGTATTGAAAAATATTAATTATGTGTCTTTGTTAAAAGGAAAATGTACCAAATTGATATATATTACGGTACGTATTGTGTTATTTCTTTACTCTTAAGTGTCAACTTATTCATTCTTAGTTGTGTGTTATTGTAAATCTAAATTTGTAAATGGATCTATGTTTAAAGGAAGCTAAATTTAGAGGGAGGGAGCAAAAATTGTACTAAATGACATAAAATTAATATGTATTTATAAAATATTATTACTTTTTTTAAATGTCACAATGTGGCTTTTGGTTGATTTTATGTCGGTGTATAAATTTGCAATTTATGCCTTTTTTTTAAATTTAAACTTAATGATATACATATAAATACATATTCCTCGTGCTATTTTTGTAATTACCTTTTTTAATAGGAAAAACTAAAAAAACAAAAACTAAATTTAACAAAAATGAAAAATTAACAATTTTTTTTACTTTAGTCAGAAACTTGAGTTTAGCTCAACCATGTTACAATTACATAACCAAACAAGGGGAGAAATTCCCGTACTCTATAGCTCTTCTTGCCCGATTATAGGCTAGGRCATTTCTATTTCGTTCAATGTGCTCGAACGCCAACACGTGAAGTCGATTCCTTTATAGCAAAGGTTTCATTTCATTGTAAATAATTGTTTATATATTGAAAAGTATAATAAATCAAACTACAAATTTTGAAGACTATATACCACATGTTTAAGGTTTGTTGTAGCATTGGACATATATATAAAAAAAATTCACACAAATAATCTTGTTAACAAGAAAAAAAACAAGAATAAAAATCTTCCTGCCAATTTGAGCATAGTTAAGTGGATATGACACCTATTACCATTCTAAAAGTTGATGGTATAATTCCATATTCCTGCAGTGTTAAACTAAAATAAATAAATATTTTTCCTTTCACTAATAATCTCGTGTGCATAAATCAACAATCAACCCAAAAAACAAATAACTATCTACGATGAAATAATAAGACGAATCAAATTAACTACCCCATTAATTCAACCTATAGATAATAATATCATAAAGAGAAATGAATCAAAATGTTACCTCAAAAGAACATATATAAGGTCTCCCTTGGGCAAATATAAAATTGAAGCAAATCAAGATGTGGATAAGTGAGTATCTTTGGGCAATTACTGATTATGCTCATAATTAATTTGCACAACTGTGCTTTGTTTCCAACAAAAGACACACATCATGAGGGCCTTTATATATATATATATATATATATATATATATAATATTGACTCAGCCATCCAAACACACTAATAAACCTTGTTTAATTAAATTAATATATGTGAATTTTCCATAGGTCATTACCAAAAACACAAGCATGCTTTCATTATTCTTCATTAATTATTCAATGGATGATCTCTCAGTCTATTGATATTAAATTTTGCTTTCTTTTTTCCAAATTGTAAATTCAGCTGTTTTAAACTGATTAGAAGTAAGAAAAATAAAATGTATTTTATATATGTGAATAATTATTGAAATTAAAAGCTGATATGAAAATAGTTTATTTGGTTAAAGTATACATCATCAACTTAAAGTTGGAGTTTTGAATCCCGTGATGTAAAAAATAAAAAATTAAAATTAGGATTCAAGCAAAATATAGTCCAAGGTTAGAACAATAATTTAGTTTGAAAAGACTTGCTAAGATCTGAAATGTGAATTTAGGCTATTATAGGAATGACCCAAAAAAAAAAAAAAAGAGAGAGAGAGAGAGAGTGGTGGGCTGGTTACTTCAATGATGTGAAAGTTAGATTGATAAAATTAAGAACCTAGATGATTAAGAAATATTTATTATATCTACCCAAAGTGAAAGTGACCCATAATTCAGATAATCGTGACAAAGTTTGTGGTATTTTAAATTTTTCTTAAAGTTGACTTGATATGCATCAAGGTGATTGTAAACAAATATTCTTTTAAAAACATAGATTTGAATAGGGTGGAATGCTTGGAGAGAAATTTGCTTTCTACAAATTTTTTAAACAAATACTTAGTTCATATGGCAAAAGTTATAGGTTTAACTCCAAATACAAAAAATATGATCATCTAGTTCTATAACCAATATATGAGAATATTATTTGAGTTGATGATCTCTTCATTAATCTTTATAATACCCACGAATCTTATCAAATCCAAATGCGTAATAGTGTGCAACATACGCAACACATTTAAAGAGTAAAGATAACCTATTACTTTAGACATCTAAGCCACTGGAAGGTTCGAACTCGAGACACCTAAACTAGTATGACAAAGAGACCCCAAGCCCTAACCACTGACCTGCCCTCGGGGTTCTATACGAAAAGATTACTCTTTAAGCTTTTTTAGACCGACAAGAATATAGTTAAAAGAATCAGGTAATCAGGTTAGGTGTCTTGATTTTATTGGTTGACATATGATGCATGCATAATTGATGGGTATAAGGTGGAATTCTTAGTTTATTAGTACATATTAGTCTCAATTAGTGTGGGGAAAGTCAATGGTTTTACAAGATTTTGGTGCAAGTGAAGAATCATTTGGTTTGTCAAAATGTATTGGTTGTGTGTGGCACGTTAAAGGGAATGCCCAAAAAACAAACTTACAAATAAGCAAATCATTTGCAAGCCATAAATCAATGGTTGGGATGAAGCCACATGTCATCCTATTTTTCAATTAAAAATACATGAAAGATTTGAAGTGAAGCGTGGGAACATTAATTAGAGCTAGCTTGGAAGCAAGTAATGAACAACTAGGTGTGCAAGTGATCACTATAACCAACTTTTCCCATTATTTTAATCTTTTTTTTTTTTAATTTCCCTCAAAAGTCTCTCTTTTTCTTTTCCTTCTATCCATAGTTTCAATAAATTTGATTAAAATGATATATCCATTATTTGAAAAAAAAAATTAGCCTATTTGTTATTTTTATTTATGAAAATTTAATAGTTGTCAATGTGATAGATGGTTGTTTTTATGTCTCTTTAAAATCCATCATTATTGGCTCTTAGAAGGTAAAGCAATTCCAATCATCTCTTACTTAAGGCATCCAAACTTTTCCTTTTCCTCTCTCTTTTCCTTTTTCCAATTCTTTATAAAGTTTTCCTTCTTTTTACCATGATTTTTTTAAGTACTACTACTCAACCTTTTCTTCAAATCCAAGAAAGGAGATAGAAGAATAATGGTCGTACTCTTATCAATTCCAAGAATTAACACTATTTCAGACCTAATCATGTCAAAGCCAGCATAATTAATTAAGAATAATATCTACTGATCAACATCCATCATCTGTTGACTACCATTAAAGTTTTGACAAGTAAGATGAGAAATTTTTTCATTTTTAATAAAACGTTGTCAAATTTTTAGTAGTGGTCAACAACAAGATAAGTACCGACCAATAAACATCTAAGTATTATAAATGTATAAAAAAAAGACTTTTTTCCCTTGACCAAATATGTGAGGATATAAAATAGAATTTACAAAAGTTATAACAGTAGAGCTGCATACCTTGGACGAAACGCACAGCATGGCCCCACGAAGGTAGAGATTTTTATCCTTATAAAAGCACTGAGAAAGTCAGTATATATTTAGAGTGTGTTTGGGAGTGATTTTGACATGTCCAAAATCACCTTTGTTATTGTGAAAATCACTTCCCTTTCCATTAACCATGTTGGAAAATTAAAAAATTGATTTTAAGTAAGTTTAAAGTCATTTTTAAGGTATCACTTAGATAGTGATCTTGGAAAATCAATTATACTTGAATCTCTTTTTTCAAAATTACTATTCTATCATCCATCTCAAACACACCTTTATTATCGAAATTGAAATAGAATAATGAAAATTCTAATATAAATCATAAAGCCCTTCATCTCCAAAAGCCTCTACCTTCAGCTCCACTATCCACCTAGGAGTTAGGACCCACTTCAAAATAAATAAAATGGTACGTGTTGTTCCCATTAGAATGATATAATTGAAAGCCAACACGAGCATAGCTCGTGATTGATGTAATTAGCATGTACTTCTTCCCTCAAAATTAGAGGTTCGATCCCCTCTATCTCCAAATTGTTGTATTAAAATAAAATGATATAATTGAAAGCGCAAATTTGCACCAAGTATGGTAGTTGTAACAATTGCACCCCTAAACTTTTAATGGTAAAAATTAAACCCTCAAACTTTCATAAACGAACAAAATTAGATTCCAAAATTTCAATCGTAAAAATTAAACTCTTAAACTTTCATAAGTGAGAAAATTACACGCCTAAATTTTCAATTGGTAAAAATTAAACCCTCACTTTGAAAGAGATAGAGTAAATAGATCTTTTTTTTTTTTTTAAGTTCGACGGTTTCATTTTTACTATTGAAAGTTTAGAGATCTATTATAAAAGTTAGAGGGTTTTATTTGTATAGGTGAAAGTTTAGGAATGTAATTGTAACTACCATACTTCAAGTGGTTTAATTTGTCGGGTTGAAATAACAACAATAGAAGAGTATGAGCCAACATGAGCATAGCTCATTTTTAAGGCATCTTACTCCTTAGAGGTTAGAGATTAATCATCATCCTCATATTTGTTGTATTAGAAAAAATAATAGTAATAATAAAATAATAAAAAAGCATGAAGGATTAATCATGCCCTTTTCCCCTTTGGGGGGTGGATGTGAGCAGAAGAAGGATGGCAAAAAGAAATAGCCGTCAGAACATCACTGATGTTGAAAGCTAGATCAAGTCCAAGAAATTTTTTATTGGGAGTATTGACCAAAGATATGAGTCGGTCTTGAGGAGAAATAAAAGATAAACACGCTAAACCACCATATATATAATATATGGTAAATAGCAAATTGCATTGAATCCAAAGAGTAAATAATACATTAAAAAGACAAATATACTTTAAACTATCAGGTTAAGCTTTTACATTTGAAGATGGGTATTAGAGTAAAACAGCTTGTGTTCATATTATTTTCCTTAAAATGATATTGAAAATATAATTATTGAATCTCTTGCAAATTAGTTGGGGGATGAAATAAGCGTATAAGGGAGTACCATTTCAGAGAATGAGAGGCTACTCATGCATCCGAGGCTCCACAAATACTGATGTCGTCCTTGAGGGCACCATGAAGCATCCCGTGGATGGCTCGTACGTTGAATTTTTTACAATTGGATCGGTTGACATCACCTGCCCATGTTAACGTATAAAAACAATTAATATTTTCAAACAATGATTGAAAATGCCTTTTTTTTTTTTCAAATGGGAGATGAGAAAGAAGAGTGCATAATCAGTGAGATATAAAAAGTAGGTACAAATTCAATTTTGGTATCCAAACATATTCTATTTTGGTCCTATTTCATTTTGTGTCTCAGACTTCTAAAATACCTACTTTAGTCCAAAACTTTTTAAAAATAATCATTTCGGTCCTTGTTATAATTTTTTTCATCTAATAATCTGCCTCCAACCTATGAGAATTGGATAAATGCTTACACTAACACACTAGTATGCCATTCTATATACTTGAAGTTACAAAATCAATTTGTTAAAAGTAAAATAAAGGTAAGGATCAAAATGATTATTTTTTAAAAGTTCGAAAACTAAAATTTATTTTGAAAGTTTAGGGCCTAAAATGGATTTAAATCTAAAAAGTGGTATAGATATTGCTGATAGTTAATAATCGTTCCCTTTGGGAGCAAAGCACTTTTGGATCTCAAGAGAGTATTTACCTGAATGGGATGTAATTGAAGAGTTCTTGCCCGCAAAGCAGGGCAAGGAAATGAAATCTCAGTTGGACGTGCATTAACCACGACAACAATGTACGAGTAACTGCAGATAATATGAGATAACGGTATTATTATGTGTAAACTTCTTGATAGATAGAAGAAAAGAAAGCAGTTCTACCCACATGGGATCCAGCTGACTTAATCCTGGAATGCCTTTGTGCCCGTCTTCAATACTCATCACTATGACTCCAGGTATAAGCGACGCACCTGTGTTGTGGAAACGGACCCGTTCCTGCACACAAAAAATGAAATGCGCTTCACATCGTAAGCACCAGAAAAGTAAATTCTTTTCCAGTCCAAACCAGACATATGTGTCCCGTTTTAACAATTCAACAGAAACTAAATGAAGGTAGAAGATTAGTAGAATGACACTTCAATGAAAATAAGACCCCTGTATCCAGTTTTGTTCGAAGAGTTGAAAACATAATTGAAACTATTATATTTATTCGGACTAAACAAGAAGCTTTTGAGATTAATGATAATTTTAATCCCTCATGAGTACAAATGGTTCTCGATTAAAATCTATTTACCATTTATTTCTTGCCCAATTCTAAAGCCAGTAGTCCAACAAGTTCTTAGATAAAAGAAAGTGCCAGTACAATTTTGATTATATAGTTAACCTTTTTAGTTTTGGGCAGTTTAATAAGATAAAATTCAGATGGGGAGCAACTGATGAAGCAATGAAATTGAGGTAGACATGACATAGAGCAGAAGGGGAAGCCACAAGAAGTCATAGTGCAAAATCATTCGGGTAAGGAATACTAGATAAACCTATAAACACAGGCAGGCAGAACCATAACCCCATTGTCATAAAAGTATCAGAAGAGATGAATTCAACGATTTCCGAATTGGATGCAAGAGGAATCTAAGACAAGGAAATTGAAGAATGACATTTACCGATGAAAACCTTCTACATTTTCTTCTGGTAAAAATTTCCTTTGTTCTACAATGAGCACTATTATTAATATTTTCTCCATCCAAGTTTCCGCTAAACTCTTAGCATAATGGTGTATATCGAAGCATCTAAACAAACAGGCTAACTTATCTCTGTTTGAATAGAGGATACTCCAGGAAACAAAAGCGCTGTGTCTTGCACCAAAACAATTCAATTTTGCACGTCAAGAAGTAGAATTAATATAAATCAGTGCAAATCGTAGACCAGCGTGAAACACAGAAATGATGCTTTGAGCCACCTTGGCAGTATTCTGCCATAGTATGTAATATGTTGCTCTTGTACAAAATAAAAGTAATTTCATTAAATATAGATCTCAAGTCTCTGAGAATAACCAGCTGATTAAAAATTTAAATTGTGTTTTATCTAACAATTTGTATTAAATAACCATTCTCACCTGGATAGCATTAGCTGTCTTCAAACGGAAAAGGGGTGAAGAGTATCTGATTTGTAACAGATTTGTGAAATTTTCCACAGCAGTAAGAATGTGACTTTTGCTTGGCTTGAAGGAGGGATTGGCCAGTCTTGGTTTTATTCTGAGAATGAAAGACATCATTAGCAAAGGTTTACAGTAAACATTCGACGTTTTAAAATAACAGGAATACAATGGCTAGCATGATCCAATAGATCTTCAGGTAAATAATTAATTGGATTACTGGGTACTGGGATAACAAGTTCCATCTATTCCAGAAGGCGAAGGAAAACTTGTAGAACAAATGCTACTCATATTTAAAAAGCAAACACGCATGCAAGAAATGGCCACGTAAAACTTACAGGGGCCAATTATTTTCATTCTTCTCTTTTGGAGGAAGACCAACTCCCCAATTATTTGTCATGTATGTGAAGTCGAGCCTGATTTTGTGAAAGATAACATCAATTCATGGTAAACAAAAAATTAACTATAACGGGCAGTAAAAACATATTCAGTTAGAGAAATGGGATTTGGAAACCCACTGTGCAATATATCATATGTTCCCAACTATGTATTGTATAGGATTTGCGGAAAAGACATAGTTTAGTGTTGATCCATGATTGATGTCCTCAACGTCTAAATACTTTTGAAAGGTTATTAAACGACTGAAAGAAATAAAATTAGAACAGGACCTGTTGAACCAATCACCAGAGTTGTATGAATCACGATCCATTGATTTCGAGCGTAGTAATTCATCACCACAGTGGAACAATGGTATTCCCTTTTAGAAGAGAGTAATTCAGCGACCAGAATAACAAAACTACAAATGATAAATAATAAATTCGGTGCTTAACTTGATGGTGACATAATTATCCCAATGCCCATAACATTAATCAAACAATAAAAAGAAAACATGGTTTTTGATACTCAAGGCTAGATGTCATAGTGAACAAAATTTATGCCGGTAATGACAGGTCGTTTACTGGTATGTCAAACGTTCAGAATAATAGAATTTCTGTAGCCATCTCTGAATAACTTTACTTTCCAGAATTGTTGGTAATTTAGTGAGGCACATGAACATGGTCTTTTGTGAAATAAGTTTATTCGATCTGCATGCAATGACTTTGTAATAGAAGAATCAACATTCAATGTCGCAAACATAAGACTACTTCCATGATTAACTAAAATTAAAAACCTGCGATAGTGCTATTATACTGGTTGCCAAATGATTAATCCTGCATCTGTCATTCACTGTAATGTTCCTTGGAGTCTACAATAAAAGGACTATAATCAGAAGACAACTCTTCAAGAAAGCAGTATGATTCATAAAACCATGTTCGCATTACCTTTAAACTGACAATGTCAAATAGGGTTTCGTTATCATGAGCAGAAACATAATTCACCTGGAAACCAATCAAGAACGTCAAATGCATGACTATGCATACCAGAAACTAATTTAATATTTCAATATCCATGATGATGTGAACATTGATAATGCTGGTTTTCGATAATTATTTTAGAAAAACTTGAAATTGACATAAAACCCCTCAAGAGGTTAAAATTTCGAGTACTGGATACATTTAATTCTTGTGGTAAATGGAACTAATGCTAATAGTTCTATTTATGCTAGTTTCTCCCTCTACAGCTTTTTGTCCAAGGGGTAACGAGTCCTCCTAAAACAGTTCTGCAATAAACTTTGGGCCTCTTTGCTTCCCAAAAAAAGATGCAAATTCTTCCTTTCACGGGAGGGCTAAACACAAGCGGTAAGTTACATATCAGAAATCCCAACATTCGGCTCAATCCAAGCTGGTGCATTCTTAGTAAAGCAAATTCAGCGTTGGCGAATCGTCTGTTTCTTTCTTCCCATTCTCTCTCGGCCTACGGGTAAAGATCTTGGGCATAAATAGGCACCGTGCACATCCCACTGAGTCTACCACATTCAAGTTGATGCCAATGGATCGATCATAAGCCCAGAGGTCTTTTCAAAAATCAATGAAGTTTTAAAAAATGCCTTATTTTGATAGTCTCAGCTATTTTCTTCTCGGACTTGAATGTATTTGACAAAGCAAAACTCTTTCTCTCTCTCTGTGTCTCTGTCTCTCTCTCTCTAGAAAAATCTGCAGGGGTTCCAAATGGGGGTGGGGTTGGGGACGGCAACGGAATGGGGAGGGAGGAAAGGACAGGAGAGATCACAGAAAGCGGCAACGGAATCTCGAGAGTTCTTTCTTTTCCTTTTTTCCTTTTTTTTTTTTTTTTTGCCACCTCAACGAAGTACACATTTTATTTTACGCTAATATACGTTTTTTCAATCGTAAGATTTCGAAACTTAAGGACTTCCGACGAAACTATTTGTAAAATCTGGGTCCTCAGAATAAAATAAAAGAAAGAAGAAAAATCTCTGTTTTTCTGTTATCATGCTTACATAACACTAACATGTCACCTAGATGAGTCAAGTTCACTTCTACCCACCCTAAACTCACCCAAAGCAAAGGACTGTTGCCGGAGATGTTCCTCTATACCTCTTGTTTCGGTGTCGAATCAATAATATGTCTTCCTCGAACAAGGCTGTTTCATTACTAGAAACCATAGAATGAGTTACCAGCTTTGTCGATGCTAGTAATCAAACTTATCAACCTGAAATCTTTCATTTGTCGAGTCTTCTCAATTTCTAGGATCAATTTCTCTTTTACGCAATTGTTGATGTATCCTTCATAAGAGGTATCTAAGTTAATATTAAAGCTACGTTTATATTCGGAAGTGGATGGAAATTCTGGGGAGACAAGGAAGGTTTTGGATATTCTACCTAACGGTAGTTTTTTTTCATTGTTTCACGTATATTATACTAATCAATGTTGCATGGAGAGTATTTTATTGACTCCTCTAATGTACCCTAATCTTTCTTGGTAAATATTTTTGCTGGTTTCTTGTTGAAAAAAAATAGTACATTCCAACTAATGATGACTTCCATGAATTCTCAAAAATCAAAAATTGATAAAGCATCTTACAGTTTCGGTGGGGCAAGAAGCATATGCCACTGGGGATCCATCATGAGTTAGTACTTCTGATCCCTTCACCTGCAGGAGGATATAATATTATCTAAAATTCTTCATATCAAAAAATGATAGGCAATTCTTGTTAACCAGCTCCATTTGTATTAAGACCGAGTAATAAGAGATACACGCGAAAGAGGAGGATGCATTTATCCTTGCATACAAAATTAGTTAATATTAAGACCGAGTAAAAAGAGATGCAAGGAAACTTCAGGAGAAAGTGGAGGCATGACCACAACATCATGTGAATCAGAATGCAGGAGCAACTCATCTGTGTATAACATTATAATTTATTACAGAACCAATGCCAATGTTCATGAAAACAATCGATTTATTTAACAAAAGAAACTTTAAACATTTATCATAATGCTACATGATACTCTGATCGTTGAAAATACTCAGCGATAGTGCTCTGCATATGGGAAAGCTAGCGATTAGTGATGGTGATGGATAGGTGAAGCCCTTTTTTCATGGGATTAACCCCGACCCCTAAAAAGAAAGTATATGTTTATATAATTAAGAAAAAATTGTTATAATTAAAAGATAATTTTTTGACGTAAAAAGGAAAAGAACTTGTTTTAATTGATAAAGGATGGTAGACAAACATTCATAGAGACATTACCATAGATGTGAAAAACCGATAACTATGTCTTTTTCCCATGTTTTACCCTAAATATCCATTTTGACGTTAGGTCAGTACGATGAAACAAATACTTGCATACTTACACACGTATATACATTTATACGGACGAACACTCATAAGTACATACATATGTTGGAAAACATCAGTACCATCTTTAAGAGTTCGTAATGAGAAATTATTCTTCCCTTCGAATAAAATACCTCATTTCCTTCAAAATTGGTCAGAACATAGTCCCTCAAATTGGCAGCCATCCCAACCTGAAATTTATTTAAACCAGTGAGGAAGAACTGGTGTACTGGAAGAAGATCCATCTATTTTCAATTAGTATAACTTAGTAATTGCATTTCTGGATATGAGTTTCCAATGGAAGTACTTAAAACTGAGATATATATAAGCAATCAGAGCAATCCGAATATGCATGTGTTCAAGTGCTAAATTGTAAAATGTTCCTACAACAACACGTGGACTACTAACAGAACAGATCATATACAGACTGATTCCAAGACTGGGCCATTTCCACTCACATAGAGGATGAACCAAGTTGAGATGACTAACCTGAATATGATCCCTTGACACAGCAAGCATGAATTCCGCAACTTCGTCCGTACCATGGTCATGATCGTTCGGCTGCAAAGTAAGACAAATTGAATATATTGGATTCAAGGAAAAGAGACTCTAATTAAACGAAGTACAAATATAATCAACACAAGAGATAAATAAATAAAACATGTATTTAATTCAATAAATAAATTATTTACTAAACATATATCTCAGCCATAAGTAAGAAATAAAAAATGTCATTAATAAGGAAAGTAGACTTAATATTTCATCAACCCGAAGGACAAACACTCCTTGGCATCGCTCTTAGTCTGCAAGCATGGAATTGGCCCTGGGATGGACTTCTGTAAATATACTCTCAAGCTTTAAGAGTTCGTGGACCTTTTCAGCATCTCATTGACTATTTATCCCTTTTCAACATTAGAAATTAAAAGGTTGTTCAGTTCTTGGAAGATCCTTAGATTGAGAGGATTCCCTTGATTTCTTCCTTTCCTGGTTTTTATGGCGTTGCTCAGACTAAAAACATTTTGATTGCATATTGGAAAGAACGAATGCACACTGGTTTGATGAGAGACAATTAAAGTATAAATATAAACCAGCTTCTTCTCCTTCAACAATAAGGCCAACCTATTCCAGGAAAGAAAAAAGGGGCAAACCAAGAGGGTTAGGTAAGTAGGAGTTTATTAATGCTATCTAGCTTATCCTAAATTCAATGGGAGAATCCACTGCAAAAAAAGAAAAGGGAAGAACAAGAAGAAGAAAGAAAAGAAACAAATCTGTGAAATCTTTTTCCCCCTAAATAATGCTCCGGACAGGTAATTTTGTCTTTCAGATGGGAGCATTTTCCAAGTAAATCCCACTAGATCTCTGGAGTCTAGCTCAGAGTTCACTGTTGCAAAATCAATCTTATTGAGAGGGTCAATGAGGTTAACAATCTTAAATTCACTCCTCATGTATTGAGTGAGTACCAAACACATCAAATGCTACAAAGACTTCCATTATTAACTCAATGTAGAATTATGAAACATCATTCATTTGAGATCGCGTATTGACACTAGAAGAAGGAAAAAAAGCAGGAGAGTGCTCCAGGTGGAAGCAGGCTGTTGTAAGTTAGCTATGGGAAGTTTGGCACTTTGCTTTGTGGATGGATCTTACGTGCACAGTAAATTCTAACTGTGAGTCATAGTAGTTAGGGGGCTGAGAGTAATCTCAGATAAGAAAAGGGGAGAAAGTAGAGAGGAAAGTAACTTGATTAGTGAGTTCTTGAGAGAGTACAGAATCTTCTATCATATTGTCATTATTCATGAGCATTTGTTAGTAATCTACTTAAGCCTATATACGAGAGTTATCAATGGATATAGAGTCTAGATCGACATGGCAGTGTAAAAGATTGATGTTCCGTACTATTCAAGTATAGGTGCATCGTGAGATAGAACCCTCGTTGCAGCAGCAAGGGTATTGAGGAAAGGAATAGAGATCTTAAGGAAATTGAAAGGAAATATTACAGGTGGAAAGTTCCCCTGGAAGAACAGAGGCAGAATGTACATCACATCCAAATGCCTCTAATTTCAGAAAAATAGTTAACACATTATTTGTGGAAAGAAATGAATGCCTCTAATGGCAGGAATATCGTTAACTTATAGTTGATCTCAAATTGATGTTGTGAAAAACTGAAACCTACGGGGAGTCTTAAGAGCTAAGGCACTCCAATTGGAGGTGTTGCAACATATGATCTCAAGGACTTTCAACAGCTTTCTGTCTTCGTCTTCAAAAATGTCTTTTGTTTCTCTTAATCCATACAAATTCCATAAATTTTATTTGTAAGAAACTACCAACTTTTCAGTGAATATATTCCATACACTAAACATTAAATTATGAAGTCCAGTAAAGAAAACATGAAGCGCTCTACCAAGTATATAGAAATCGTGCATATTTACCTAATATTATGATAATACTCACAAATAGAGATGAAAAAGTTCCACGAAACTTTTGAATTGATGACAAAAGTGCAAGTGAAAATGCAAAAAATTTTGCATACCAGGGCAAACAATTAACCAAGATAGGCAAGCGGCCTTTTTCAGTTTTTGATCGAGAATTGAAATATCACAAGAGGCCAATCAAATATATACACTTACCAAGAGACTTCCACTTTGTCTTGTCATCGTCAACACCAGCAAATTGGAAGGTTGGCAGTAGATGAACATGACTAATACCAGCACTTGATAGCTTTTTTAAATGAGTGATACCAGCAGAATCCTTCAAGTGGCATATGCTTATTGTTAAACACTATTTTATTTGATCCTACAACATGAGATTCTGGTTCTGATATCTAGATATCCAACGCATGTGTGGTGTATAAGGAAGACAACAAAGAGAGAACCTACAACTTTCAGCTTCCTAGCCTAATGTCCAATACATGCATGATGAGTAAGGTAAAAGAGAAAACATGCATGGAATATAAGGGAGGCTGGGGGGGTGGTGGTGGGGGGAACCCTTTTTGTTAGAGTAAAGGAATGACGGAAAAGAAGTTGTTAAGTTGACAAACGCAACTCAGCAAATAACTGATTCACACTATTGGATGAAAAGTAAGACTACCTGCAAAGTGAAGGCCATATAACCACCACGTAGATCAGGATGCACACTTTGATCATTTATACTGCATCAATACAGAAAATTAAAAGGATTTAACTGCAAAGAGTTCAGCACAATGCTGTAGAGATGACTAAATCAAAAAAAAATAAAAATAAAAATAAAATGCGCACGCCAGTATTATTGCACAGTAAAATCATAGGTTTTCTACTTATTTTGCATGGAATTAACTTTTTCTGAATAATATTGGCAGAAAATTATAGTTATGAATGCCACATGTAACAAAAGAGTCACATCAGCTTGTTCGGTCCTTTGACCTTTTTCATCCCTTTTCTACCCCTCTTTAAGATGGAGCAAAAGAACAGGAGAAGGTAAAACTTGTCAGATTTTTGCTTCATTTGTGATGGAGATAATGAAATAATAGGTCGAGCATATCCCATTATCCCACAAAATGAATGCAGTAATATAGTATGAACGTTAAAGGTCAGTTTTCTCCTACATTCAAACTCATTTACCAACATTCAAGAATAGGAAAAATATCAACATATAATTTTCAACACTTCCTACGACGTTTTAACAGAAAAATTGGAGTTGTATCGTAAAGAAAACTCTGAATACGGTAAGAATCAAGTACTTACCTAAAATCCCTTATATGCAACTCATAAATACTAATGTCAGAAAAAGAATGCAGGGGGGGTTTCTCGTCCGCCAATTTATCCCATCCCTCAGGTTTTAGATCATCAGAGCCAAGATCAACAAACAATGTCCGCCTTGCATCTGATGAGATCCTGCTCTAGCAATAAGAAGTATGGACTATATGTAAAGGTTGGACTTTCTTGCAAATCTTTGTATGTCTAAAACAATGCTCCATAACTTTTTGGGTAAAAGGTCTATACCCTCTGGCATAAGGATCACTAGTAAAGCACTTTTCAACTCGTAAGGTGCTAGGATGGTAGACTGTTACTTCATATTCATAATAACAGCCTTCCCAACTTTTTGGCCCTTTAGTTCTCCAAACGCCATCAAACTCCTCAAGCTGGATAACTTCAAATGGCATTCCACCCACCGGGTCCCTGTAAATTTGAGCCTGTACAGCCTGATCGATGCAGAAAGATAGTAACATGAACAGGTTAAAACTCAAAAGATGCACATCTGATTGTGATATTAGGCTACAGTGGTATGGCATTGGCTAGATAATAGGAAATTGGTATACTTGGGCAGTTGGAGCCCAAAGGTAAAGTGATACAGCCTCCTTCAAGTAAACTGCACCTAGCGGACCTTCATATGAGAACAAGTCATCAAGAACACCAGGTAGCTGCAAGCAAGTAATATTGTTGCATTGACCATAGGCTGTACAGTAAGAAGAAAGGTGCGATGGATCAGTGGTCAGAATAAGAAACTGCACAACGTATAAGAACATAAATTGAAAGACCATGTTCTTTAGTATTATTGTGGGGGGTGGGGGGTAGACCTTCAACAACGTTACTGCACAAATAGCATTTGACAGAATACATCAATTTTACAAGAGCATCAAACATTTGATAGAGAATATTAACTAACTGCCTACTACCAAAATCGCTCCGTAATCTTTTACCTTCTTTCTTGTTTCTCTCTCTCTCTCTCTCTCTCTCTCTTCCTTTAGGCTCTATAGATCAAGGAGAGAGAAGAGAGAGGGTGTAGCTTAGGACTAGTTATGGTAACATGCTATTAGATATCAGATAGAGAAACAAGCCCAAGAATATCATTACAGTTGAAATTGGCTACTGCCAGTTGACATTTGAGAAGTGTTTCAACATCCGATGCATGAGGGACTGTGAAAGGGCTGTAGTTTTGAATATGAGGGAACTTTTTGACCACCTTACAGCATAAAGCGAAAGCTGTCAGTTTTTTTATAACGTCTAAGAAGATTTCATATCCATGGCAACAAAATGAAGGTTATGATTCCTCAGAGACTTGATACATTACATTTTCTGGAAGTGGGCCATGGTCTTTTTCCAGCTTAATTTTCACATCGTAGCCTGCCGATCAGAAAAAAATAATAATAATAATTAATCAGCATATTCTCTTTATAATCTCGACATGGTCGGTCTAGCTAGTACGATCATACCTTCGCTACACCATCTTCAACACGCAGAGTTGCCATTTTACTGGCGAATAGATAACACGAACCGCTTCCAACTTCCACATTCCACGCTATACTATATTTGCTAATCCAAAAAGCTCTCGAGTACAACAAGCTATCTTCCAACTGTTCATAGTTTACGGCAAAAGGAAATGCACATTAAACAGCATATAGTCAATCGCGACGAAGTAGTAATTTCTATTTTCTCATTAAACGAAGTAATCCAAACTAGTTTGCTCATAATCCAACTGTAGTAACCTTAACCAATTGAGCTGATGCCTATCGAAATTTCCTCTTCCCTTCGTCGCTATCGGAACTGAATCAGTCCTACATTGTACAGAAAGTAACACAGACTACAAATTAAGACAAGTGGAATCGGAAATAGAACCTGGTGAGCTGAAGTAGATTCCTCGAGCGACATAGATGAGGAGGAGGAGCAGTAAAGAGGTCCACGGAGAATGTGGTCGTCCGGGAAAGGAGACTGAGAAGTTCCGGAAACGGAGAAGAGACCGCCGGCCGGCGGAGACGATGAGAAGGCGGCGGTGCGGGGAGGAATAAGACGGTAACGGATGGAAGTTGCAGCCGGAGTTGACGAAGGTGAGAGATGGAGGGAAGAGGAAAACAGAAGAGACATTTTTTTTTTCACTCGCGCGTCTCATCACGGTAAAATAACTGTTTATTTGATATTTTCTGCGGCAAATGTGTACGTCATAATTATTTTAGTTTTCTGTTTTGAGAAAAATAAAATTTATAAAGGGAAAATTTTAATTTTTACCTGAAATTTTTGGATTTTATCAAATTATATCTGAAAGTTATATAAATATTGCAATTTTTGCTAAAAACATGAAAATTTTTGCTATTTCGTCTTTTATCCTTTTAGTATATACTTTTTTTTCTTTACAATAATGAAGCAAAGAGAATGAATATGAAATAATTAGTCTTGGTCCATTCATATACTTTAAATAGTTTATAAAATATAATGAATTTTTCATTCTATTTTTTATGTTTAATAAATTTTTATAAACTCCATTAGTGATAAATCGATTTTCAACTAGGTTGGAATAATTTTGTAATAATGTCGTGAACCTATTAGTAGATACAAAATTTAAAGTTGTGAAATCTATTATAACTGTGTTGGTCTCTCATGTTAGTGTTTTTTTTTAATTCAGTATTCATTGTTTAAAGAACTTCAGTTCAAACATTATGTTTCGACGTTTTTTAATTTATTCTCTCACTATTGGTAAATATTAAAATTGTCTCTAGATAATTTACTTGAGGCAATATTTAGTAAATTGGTAAAAATTGACCAGAGGAAAACTGCAACTTTAGAGATAAAAGTTTATAAATCCTCCCCCAATTTTCAATGAATTACGTATAAATTTTAAATTTTCTTCATTTTTTCCTCTAAAGTTCTACCAATTCACTAAACGTACGTCAAGAAAGTTTATTATAAGTCAATCTTAACTTTCACCTAAGGTAAATTACTAAATTAAATTTTTTTAATATTAATAAATAAATTAAAAATATACCAAAACAGTGGAGCTTAAGAACACATATATAGCCTGTGTGGTGTACACATAATGTAATACACCAAACAATTTAACCATTTATGGATAACAAGTTTACTAAACGATTTATATATTCCATAATAAATATATATATATATACCGAGCACATTTTTGTCCTCGTCTATTTAAAACACAAAAAGAGTCCATAAAAAAACAATAACAATAAATGGGATATAATCAAACAACCCAATAATATCTTACTTTTTCACTTTGTATATCTATAGGTTGTCGCGAAAGAAAGAAAAAACATTTATTGATATAGCATTATAGACAATATAACACTAAGTCTCGTATTCAAAATAGATGCTCGATTTGTAAAGTTGAATACACATGCACACAAAATCTTCGATATGGTGCTCGACTTTATATATTTTGAAACATATTTTTATTAGAACTTAATGCAATATGGTATCAAGTCAAATTTGATTAGGTTGCATAAATAAACGCCTAAGTCAGTGTTGAGCTAGACTTCCATTAAACTGGTCATACATCGTCTAGTCTATCAAAACTAAAGTTCAGAGTGTTTCACGTGGCAGGCTCTCGCCTCACAATATACATATAAAAATACAGCACTTCAATTAGAAATCGTTTAAAAGTCACATCACTCAATTATTATACAATAACTCAATTATGTTAAGAAGAAACAAAAAAAAGAAGATAAACGAAGGCAAAGCCCATTGATGGCCCAATGATAGCTATGAAGTGGGCCATTCAAATAATCCACCCATTTCCTTGACTGTTGGTACCAGTAGATCAAATATCA